ACACGTCACCAATGTTCATTGCTGGCTGGGATCTCGCTCATATCCATCTCCTTTTTGCTTAATGGTACTTCGTCAGTCTTCATTCTGGTATGAAACTCTATACACTATTCATCTCTCCGTCTCTAGATGGTTCATCTGTGTCACTCACTCGGCTTTAGCACACATTTCACATCGATTTCTTCGTCGTTAGATGGCATTCATGGTTGTTATATGCACTCTGGCACAAGTTACATCCTCACCTTGCTGTCGCTGGATGGAAACGCTTCATTGTGTGCCTGGGATTGATCTTTTTTCCACCACACACCTCTCCATCTCTGGATAACATGTTACTAATCTGCACCGGGGAGTGGTACTTCGACACCTTCCATCCATGATCTATCATCTATCAACACCCATCTTACTTCGGCAATGTTCACGAGAGATTCATACATTGGTCTGATACCTGTCATCTTCGGTCTAACGTCCTGCAATAACACCAATACTTCACTTCGATCCAGCTCTTCACGGTTACGATTTCAATTTCTTACGATGGTATGCATTGCATTGACTGTTCCGTTTCAAACAATGATCTGGTGTTGCGCGCTATTTCTCCTCCTTGACATACAAAACAGAGATATCGATTCCAATCTGCTTCGGATGTTTTGCACCAGGTGTTTCATTCTCATACCAACAATAACGATGACAATTTCCGGTTTCCTGGGACGTTTACCATGATAGTTCAGTGCAACATAGCACATTCTACTCATCTCCACTTATCTTCTTACCCAATAGGGGCCTTTTTAATAATCGTCTTTCATTTTTCTACCTTCACATTTTCCTTATTTCCTTCAATACTTGTGTTTTCAGGGCTGGATGGATGAATAATATTGAGGTTTTTGAACTAAACCACTTTGCGGGTGTTTAAAATAACGACATTTGACACTGGAACATGTCGGGAGGATTTCTTTGCGAAAATACTTTAGAGAATTTACTATTCCACCAATTTTGAGTGTTTTGATGGCTTGGTGACATGGTGACTTGGTGATCAATTGATGCTACCGCAGTTGAATACATAAGATATATAACTAACTACTTGGACAGAATCAAGCATTTCAATTGCATTCTCTGCAGTTCCATCATCGTGCCTTCCTAAATCTATATGGAAGCCAGAAAGACACCATGACATACAACTTCCAGCGGACACAGCACCTTCCTTTTGAAAACGACACATCGCCACTCCTATCAAATACACCAAATCCATAACCTTTACGGCTTGGCAGCTATCAAGATCTTCATGCCCATCCGCACGATCTGTCTGCTTAAGATTACGGAGTTCACACCATTCCCTCACAACCACCACCCCCCAGAAATCTCCGAAAAAAAATCAAAATTAGGACCCCGAACTCGAAAGCAAATCACCATTCTACTCACTCTTCACGAGAATCCACCGTTGAGAGACAACCGCAAAGTCTAAGCATCCAAGAAAAATGAGTAGTGCATGGGACTTTCGAGAACGTGCTTCGGCATCCGAATCTCCATTTCTAATAAGAATCCTGGTATCCTGAAATCTGCTCGTCTGCTAACGATCCGAAATACAGAAATTTTACGCTTGACAGTATGGAATTCTGCGCTCGACTCTCGATGAGCCCTTCGAAATGTGATACTAGTCTCGAAATCTCAAGGTCTATTTCGAGTACATTTCTGGTGATTAAAGAATAGCTCATTCAAATCTTCGAACTTTAAGCACCACAAAAGTAGGCTTCGTAATTTAATGACACGGATTCTTGTATGCAGTAGTCTGTCTAGTAAAAAGTCACTGCGTTCTGCGGAAAAAGTACCAGTTAAGCTAAAAGTGGAATTCCGTAGTGATGGTGATGACGTCACAGATGTGTAGTGCAGTAGAGGTTGAACCGAGTCACAATTATTATGCTCAAAGAGTTTTTATTCTATCGATGGGAAACCCATACAATTCACTACCTAGTCTTTAACTTATAGGTGATAACTCATACTCATATACATCGATACGGATAGTCAAGCTGTTTGTTCAATACCTCAATAATTTTGACTCCAACATACCGGATTAGACATCTCGAGCACGATAATCAGTCACGTCTAACTCAGTCAAGCAGGTACTTATTCCATCCGGCCCCAGATTTGAAATTCCAATCGGACTTGTTCAGAATTCTAGCTCTTCTAAATTTCTAGTACGTGGTCAGCATGTTCCACATTCCCTCTTTCCTCTCCTCTCTCCCCTTATCACACGTATACTGACAATTCTTTCCCGTCTCATCCAAATTTATCTCTTTTCATGATGGAGAATTTCAAGTCTTCAAAAGATACCTATGTTTCTCTTTCTTCTTTGACTAAGAAACAAGGCAACAAGAGTTGATTTTTCTGAGAGGTTTTATATTTCGGAGAAGATTAGATTTCATGCAAGCTTTTGATATTTATATAGCCTTAATACTTTCTCTCGTTCATCTCCTCCTCAGGGAAAGAAATAAAAAAAGAAAGGAAAAAAATATCCATCGATCTCGAAGTCAAACACTGCCCCTCAGCTTCAACAGACTCATGCGTCTGGAAAGGGTTTCTTTTGAGAATAGAAAAATGAACAATCATCCGAATACACCCCCCCTCACAATTCCCGCTTCAAAAAGAATTCACTTCCAATCTTCTCCCTTTCCCCTCTGTCGAAGCTCTTCTGGTCTCCACTCCTCGTTTTTTTTATCTTCTGCCCCCTTCTCTTAACCACAAAAATCAAAGGCCAGAAACCCCTCCCCAAAAAACTTCCTTACACTACCTATCCACATCATCAGCCAAACCGAATTTTCAACCATCACCTCCTCTCCTCCCTTCCCAAAACCCCAATTTCTACTCGACCTACTCTATCTACTCTACATACCTACCTATCTACCCATCCCAGTCTTATACCACATCCCCATCCACCTCCCACAATTCTACTACACTATTCCCTCATCTAACCAACCTCACAATCAAAATCTAAACCTCTCTCTCTCTTTCTCTCTCTCTCTCCACTCAATTACACTATCCCCTAGACTGCGGGTTACGGCCGGGTTCTACTTATAATGCCTCATTAGCCAATCAAAATATTATAATCGAAGAGCTTTTGAAATTGTCGATTGTATTATTTTAAATATAGAAATATAATAAAATTTAAAAACTTTATACTAATTTTTTTTTAAAATAAAATATATAAATCTATAATAAATCTTCTAATTATTATTAATTTACTAAATTCTTATCTTTAATTTTAATTAAATAGTTTTTATATATAATATAATTTGTAAAGTTATTGATGTTCTTGTTTGTATACAGGCTACATATACCGGCCGTAACCCGCAGTCTAGGGGATACTACACCCATATTCCACCCTCTCCGCTAAACTCTCAACTCTTCTCCTCATCCACCCTTTTCCTCATCCCACAATCCCCTAACTAATCTCCTAAACCAACCCCATATCCCAATCCCAATCTCAAGCTCTAGAAATCTTCACAATTTTTTTGAAACAAAAAAATACTCAAGTACTTAAAAACTTAAGAACAAAAAATTCAATACAAATACAAATACAGGTCATCCGAATGTCTAAAATATCACCAGTTTAGAACCAAATTCACTGCTTCTTCAACATCCACAGCATCCAGAACTTTCACAAGTAACAAAGTCCAAAAAATGACAAACGATCTCTCCCACACAGATCCGTCCCCTACTATTCCTCCCTCTCCCCCTTTCCCCTAACAAAAATCCAAGCCTCTACAACCCCGCCCTTTACAAACCTTTCCCACCCCTCGAAGTCTCCTCATCGATGCATATCCCCATCCCCATCTCATCACCAATCCATCCTCATCACCAACCCATCCTCTCCACCAACCCATCCTCATCACCAACTCATCCTCTCCACCAATTCCCAAATATTTCATTCCAGATCACAAAAAGACATACAATTTCAATTTAAATTCTACACTACTCAGTTTTTTTAATTTTTTTATTCAGTTATTTCAATAATTCATGATAAATCATACTCGTTTCATTTTACAAATATATATACACACACACATATATATTCAACCATTCACCCATCCAATCATTCACCCATCCCCCCATCCAATCATCCACCCCTTCAAATTAATTTTACAGCCTTCGTTCCTTTTTCTTTTTAAAGAAAACAAAACATTATATCCTTTATACATCACATCTTACATCCTTTATATCTCCATATATATTTACCATCTTGCTATCCATATCTCCATATACCTCCCCATCCATACCTCCCCATCCATACTTCCCCATCCCTCCCCATCCATACCTCCCCATCCATCCCTCCCCAAAAAGATAGAATCATACAAAATAACATAAAATAAAATGAAATCAGACAAGATAAGATCTTACATTTTCAAAAGATAACAAGATGACGAGGCGACACAAGTAATTAATTCATTAAACAATCCAAGAAATTTTTGACCTCAAATACACATATATATATACACATATACACATCTACAAATCATACAATAGACCGAACTTAAAGACATATTTTTCTTTCTCGTCTGTCTGTATCTCCTCTATTATCTACCCCGCCAACTTAAAGTTTCCTATTCAATTTCCCACCTTCTCCATCCCATCCCATCCCATCCCCCCCCCCCCCCCCCCCAAAAAACCCCAAAAGCTGAAAAAAAATTAAAAAAAATGTCCAGATCCCATATCACCCACTTGCCACATACGCGCAGCCAGCCATGCAGCTAGGCAGTCTCAAGAAACCCCGAAACCAACCAAGCAAGCAAGCCGCACAAGAAACAAGCAGGAGTAGAAGAATCCAGCCTACAACCATCCACCTCCACACTTGTTGTCAAAGTAGGTTCCAGTAGATGATTGCTCTCTTGTGGGGTCCAAAGGACAAAGAGACTTATGGTTTCGAGGGCTGCTTTGATATACCGCATGGATTACAGAGTTTCAAGGAATGGTCTCGCCTTGTACTCCACCTTGCCTTGCGGAAGGGGGGGGGGGGGGGTGTTGGGAATACATGAAATGGGTGGGATTTGAGCACGTGGAATTGATGAGGAAGGAAATGTGTGAGGGGTGATGTCATGTCAAAGTGTAGAATGTTTCATCACTAGGCGCGGACGAGAATCATATAGCAGAGAAAGTGAACGAGGGGACAAAAAGGAAACAGAAAAAAGTAAAAAAGGGGAGACTGGAAATACGACTATATTCCCAATCAAACATCACGGGGTATCTATCTTTCTCTTCATCGTCAATCATATCTTCTCCTATCCGTCCCTCTTTCATCCATATACTACCATTTTCCCTTCCCACCAAACAATAAACCTCCACCCGATCTTTCTTTATTTTCCATCCTCGCTAATGCTCTGTCAATATCATTAACATCCAATTCGCCACTTCCTACCGCTATCATTCTATCATCCGTCATCTGCTCATCTTCATCTTCTCTTTGCACCAATTGTAATGCATAAGCATTTTGATTTGGTTTTGGTGCTACAGATTTGCCTCCAATGAGAATAATAAACCTGTGTTCACCTATTATGAAGATATCGGATGGTATCTCGGACCTGGTATGTGGTGAAATTGAAGACTTGGGAGCTTGTTCAATACTAATACAACGTTCGCCCAATAGGTCCACATTTTCCAACTTAATGGGACGGGAACCAGGAGATGTGTTGAAAATATTTGTTGAAGATTGACCTTTGCGAGGATTGGCGGACCAGTATTTTGAGAGAGAGGGAATAAGTGTGTAGGAATCACCCAACCAGAAGAGAATAGATTCTTCAAATGCCAAATGAGATGCCACGGATGGTATCTCGAGTACTGATATCCTTCCGCGGACTGGACCAGTGGACTGGATCTTATTGCTGAATAGATCGGTTGTTTTACGCGTTCCAGGAGTCATGGGAGCGAATTTTGATTGTGAGATTTGTGGAGGGCCAGTTGTTTTTGAGTTAGATTTGGTTGCACCTTCGACATAACCTGTAAGGGAGAACTCTGATCGTGAACCTCCTTTGATCGATTGTTGACCAAGGACACCTCTTTTTGCTCCTGGTCCTACACCATTCACATCCCACACACCCCATTCTCCGTCACTGAGTAATACAAGAACTGCTTTGCCACCGTATACCCACTTTGCATCCACAATTGATTTTCGACCAAAGCCAGAGTAAGTATTCTTATGCGATGCCTGGGAATCGGCTTTGTTGTTCTTAAACCCGGGGTACAAGGAAATGAGCCAAGATCCTTGCTCAGCAATCGCGCTCTCAGGATCTTCCGAAGGATTAACCAGAAGCTTATAATTGTAAATTCGGCAAGTGCCTAGATTATCAGCGACAAGTAAATGACTTGAATGATGTTCTGAGAATGATGGATTAAATGAAATGCTGACGGCTGGTGATGACATATAAACCGATTGGAAGGGTGGCACCGTGGTTGATGAAGGAGGCATTGGCAGTGGTATGCGCCATAGCTGTAACAATCCAGTGATTTCTTTTGAATGCGAAGCTACTATGATTTGTGTCTCTGATGCAGTGTTTGAATCATCTTTCGTGGAAGCCTGTTTTCCTTCAAAATCAACAGTCATAGTTATTCCATCCGAAGTCTTTTGGTGACCAGTCAAAATAATCATGGCCTCTCCCCATTTTCCATTTCCGACATTTGCTATCGCGGGGGTAAGTCGAAATTCATCACGATCTTTACTAAGAGGAGACGGCGGTGTGAGAGGTAATGTGATTAGCCGAACAGTATTATCACCGCAAGCTGCAGTAAAAACGATTTTTTGTTTCAATGGATCGATTCCGCGCCAGGGAGTGCCATCCGCTTTCAGTGTTGAGCTTGGTAAAAGACTGATGTGAAGAACATCGGTTCCAAATTGTAAATCTAGAGTCTGCAGAATGCTCGGGTATGGCCTTCTTGGATCGATTTCCTCTTCCTCGTCTTCGAATTCTGGTTTATCCTCGAAAGGTGGTTTGGAAGGTTCATCCTCATCTGAGTCGAGAGAGATGACTTTGTTCGCACCATTGGTTTGTGTAGTCTTTGGATGTATCTCTCTTTGTAATTTGAAAGGCCTACCACCTCTCCATATTATTCTCACTCCATCTTCATTGCCTTGTAGAATTATCGTTGATCCATTTGGTGAAAGTAACGGGTAGACCTTAGTAGTATGAATGCGATGCGGTAGTTCGTAGCTATTGATGTTAGAAATGATACTTTCTATAGATTAATTTGAAGCTACCTCAATTGTGTATTTTGCAAATTCTTTGAAACTCTTGGGTGGGAAAAACCGGGCGCCATGGCTCGGAGATGAATGGCTGAGGCTTATTGTAAATTAATTAGATACTATGAATGACTGATCACAGTGCGTTTGTTGCCAGCGATAGATAGTAGAAGATTTTGTTGGAATTTTGCTCGAAGTTTTGACATTTGCTTGCTTCTTCAGTCGCGACAACAAATTGCGCTTGATAGCAACACGGCGAGCACGGTAAATCGCGTACAACTTCATCACACGTGATCCGAGCGGCCGCATACCGGATTGGCCGTAGTTAGTCCGAACGAGCTTAGATAATTTCAAACCCAGCGAGCCCAGACAATCTTCGAGAATTGATTAAAGTTCACCGGGGAAGATTTTCTTCTCAAGCCCCGAAAGTCTAGAATCCCCTGAAACTTCTCCATGTTCTCCATAAATAAAAATTGAAACGACATTATCGTATGTGATATGATATGACATCTGCGGGTCGCGGCTTAAAACATCACCGTCTTCGATATGAAGCATTGAAGATCTTGCATTCACCCTGGACACATCAGCTGCAACTTCATGTGAGGAAGACTGATTGAGATTCTATGGAGGAGACGTGAAGGATGAACGAGATGTGAAGGCTACGAGGCTACCTAGGTAGGTACAGAAAGCCACACCGATACAAATGTCGTCTTCAACCTGAACAAACACGTCAAGTCCTTCCAACGTTTCCTTGCCACGTGCTTGCATTAGTATCGTCTTTTCTTCGGCTCGGCTCGACATTGTCGCTATCGAAATTCGATACAAAGTCTTGAAGATCATCCTACGCAAATCGACTTTGATGGATTCCGTTTCACGGCGTTAGGAAAAGCATGAGGCATTTACTCGTAATCACATCAAGTTCCTGCATTGGTGTCGTCTCCTCTTCGGCACACGGTTTCGAAACTTTGAAACTTTGAAACTTTTGAACGAAGCTTTATCGAATCGTGGATATCGTCTTGGCCTCGGCCTTTGGAGTCATACCGCAAAGACTTTCTATAATTACCTAGTAATCATACTTAACGTGGGCCACCGGTGGGCTAAAATTCTTATCATAGACAGAGCGGATGTGCTTTCCCCTTCGGCATGTCCCCAGCAAGTACTGCAGCTACCTACATTGGCGGTTCAAACGGATATCGGCACAAAGCTTGGCAAATCGTCTCCCCTCCCACTCTCCAAAGTGCCCTCACGGTACAGAGTGGTGAACCTATCAATCATCAATCATCACACCGTCTTCTGCAATGAATCATGCCACCGAGATCTTCTCAGCAACGCCATTTGATATTGATCCGTATTATATTGCATGTTGCATATTGCACATGTGCATCAGGACTTGCAACTCCCCTCCCCCCCAAAGTATCGAAAGATGTTCAACAGCCCATGTACACCTCACGTAAAGTGTTTGGGTGCCGAGGGTGCTTATGAAGTTCGTATCAAAAGTGGAAACATGAAATGAAAACATATGACAGGCTCGACAGGTCTCTGACAGGAAGCATACCTACTTCGTATGATAACTTAGCCACCAGTTTTCACTCACTCACTCACTCACTCACTCACTCACTCACTCACTCACTCACTCACTACCTCGCGGAATTCTCGACTACTTACTCCGTACTAAGTAGGCATTTGGACCCGGGACTGTTTTTGAGCAAGATTTGCCTAGAGGACCGAAAAAAAAAAAGCTTGAGCGGAATTAGTGGCCGCGATGGATCTGCGCACTGGAACCGGGGTAGGTACTAGATTGCCTGATTGCGAGGTTTGTCATCTCGACCTTTAAAGATCCTCAACGCCCACAATTTTCACATCATGGATACATTCGCTTTTTCTTATTCATATATGATTTCCTCCCCATCAGAAAGTGGTTTGCAGTGTCAATCAATATCTTTTCTTACTTACTTACTCACTGCTGTTCTTAGTATTTCTTAATCAATCAAAGTTTCATGAGTAGATTATCAAAGCGCATTGTGCACCTCTTCTTAAGTACGTTTGGGTGACAAGAATAAGGGAAAAGACTTGTTTTCCCATAGGTCTTTGCACTATCACTTCAATATGACAGACAATAGAAGCCTTGAGAAGGATGATCTCCATGATTTCAAATCCTCAAATACAGCTTCTGTAACTCTCGCATCTTCACTATCAGATCATGAAAACCACTACCCTCCGCTCTCGCATGCTCCTTCTATCACATCTCTATCATCCGATTCGATCAACAGTGATCCTCTTGCTCCTCTCGAACACGCTCTCACACCGAATCTTGAAACGGTTGCCGAACAGCTTGCACATGCTCAATTAAGTTACACGAGGACTGGTACTTCATACGCGACTAATGGGTCACGAAACCCATCATTCGAAGTTGATTTCGAAGACAACGATCCTGACGATCCAAGGAATTGGCCTTTGTGGTATCGATCTTATACAACTTTTGCCGTGAGTTTTGCGACATGGTCGACGGTTTTGTATAGTTCGTCCTATACATCCAGTATGCCAGGAATGATGAAAGAATTCTCCGTCACAAGTGAACCATTAGCGACATTGGGTGTGACGACATTTTTACTGGGGTTAGCGACTGGTAGTTTGGTTCTTGCACCATTGAGTGAGATTTGGGGTAGGCGACCAGTTTATATTGGATCTTTGGCCTTCTTCTCTTTGATGGTTCTACCCTGTGCTTTATCAACTTCATTAGGGGAAGTGTTGGGTGTTAGGTTTGTTGGGTACGTTATAATGCGATTCGTCACGTTTCATCGGTACTAATATGAACACAGTGCGCTTGCAGGTGCTGCTATGATATCAAACTCTCCTGGAACAGTTGCAGATATCACAACTGACCAATACCGTGCATTGGTCTTTAGTATCTGGAGCATTGGCCCAATGAATGGTCCAGTAACGGGCCCCCTTATTGGTGGTTTTGCTGCAGAATACTTAGGGTGGAGATGGACAAATTGGATTGTGATGATACTTTCCGGATGCGCTTGGATAGCTTGTGGATTTGTCAAGGAGACTTATGCACCAGTCATTTTAATCAAGAAAGCAGCAAAAATGCGAAAAGAAACGGGCGATGAGCGATATTGGTGTCGATACGATCAAAAGAAGAGCTGTGAGTGAATGGTGAAATTCTTAACTATTGACAGACACTGACTTTTGATTATAGTCTTTGAGATCCTAAAGATTAATCTTTCTCGACCTTTTGTCCTAAGTTTCACCGAGCCAATTCTTTGGTTTTGGAATACGTATATTGCTGTAGGTTTTTCTCATAACTTAGCTTCGTCAATTTTGGTATTATAAAATCAAGTTCCAATAGTTCGGACTGCAGATCCTCAATTGGAGACTCAATGTCTGAGAGCAATTCAAGATTCACAACGGATCGGTCTCTCGAGCTGTCGAGACGACTTGCTTGAATTCAGACATTGAAAGTCTCCGATTGTCGAACTATCGTTCGGGCTATTGGGAATTTCATCTGATATACCATAATGGTTCGGCTATGAAACTTATGTCACGAGAATAAATTATACTAATCAGTACTTTTAGATCATCTATGGTATCCTTTATCTTTGTTTTGTCGCATACCCAATTATTTTCACAGACATGCGTGGATGGAGTCTTGGACAGACCGGTCTTGCTTTCTTAGGAATCGGATTAGGAACTATGCTCGGAATCATTGCTGAACCACTCATCCGCAAAATGATCAACTCACACAAGAAAGATCCTGAGACCGGAAAAGTCCCACCCGAAGCTTCGGTCAGCATTATTTGTATAGCAGCTGTTTTGTGTCCCATTGGTCAAATCTGGTTTTCTTGGACTTGCGTTCCCATCACCATTCATTGGATATGGCCTATTCTCGCCGGAATTCCTTTTGGGGCAGGAAATACCCTAGTGTTTATCTACGGAACAAACTATCTCGCCGGCTCATACGGTATCTATTCGGCATCGGCATTGGCGGGAAATAGTGTGGTCAGATCAATTGTTGGGGGTACATTACCATTGGCTGGACCGGCGATGTATGGCGCGCTCAACCCGCAATGGGCCGGAACTCTTCTGGGATTGGTGCAGGTCATACTTATTCCAATTCCTTTCATTTTCTATAAATGGGGATCCAAGATTAGAGCGAAGAGTCCGTTGATTAAGCAGATGAGGGAGGAACAGGAGAGAAATGATAAGAGAGCTGCTAGGGCGAAGAGAAAGGAGGAAAAGAAAATGGCGATGGATACAGAAAATGCAGGAGTGATGAGGGCAAGTGAGAAAGACATGGAAAAGAGGAATGAGGTTGTGACTGGGATGGAAGACAAGGCGTGATGGCGTGAGTGTGGATGATTTTCAAGACATGTTGATAAGGGATGAGATAATGATTGTAAAAATGATGTACATGTGCGGATGATACCCAACGATAGAAAATAATAGAATAATGTTTGAACTTGTAGTATTTTGGGAACTGCATTTCTAACATTTTTGATGCATATTGGGTTTGTGAAATGGGCAAAGACGACTGGATGGTCATCTGTAGGTCAATTGGGTATGATATGAATGATCAGCCACCAGTAATCATATAGTATCATTCAGCCCTAGAATTTGGAATGAGTGCGCGGAGAAGAGTGGGATTGATTTGAAATGATAGGTTATGAAAGTGATGATACCGTTCTCCGAAATCCTAACTGCAGTCCAGACGTTTGAAAACACGGGATGATACATCAGCCTTATGGAGTCTCTGAGACAGTTGGTATCACGAGCGCTAGACTTCGGTAATTTCAGATGCTGGGGTAGTACGATATGAGATTATGGAGGCTGAGTGAAAAGGTTTCGTCAGGAAGAATTGTACGAGTGATGTTGTTGATGTGGTGAAGGGATGAGTGTAAGGAGATGAAGATGTGAATGTGAATGTGATGATTTTCTATTGTGTAGTTGGTTTGGTTGTGAATCAATAAAGGGGTTGTGGTGAATAGTAGAAAAAGACTAATGGAGATCGGTTCTTGATAGTACTAGGTATGTACTATATATATACAAGGCTGAGATGTATCAACCCTTATTTGAATGGGATCAATCCGGTACTACTGACTTATAATATCCTTCAAAACCAGATATGGTAGACCAACCGTAAGTTTCTATTTAATATCAACTGTACTATAAACAGAGTAAAGGGTTGTTGTTGTCCTCCCACCCATATCCACATCCACATCACATCGCATCACATCAAACCTTCAGCCTTACTTATACTAGCACGCACAAGCGACAAACTAAACAAAGAATACAAAACAACACCTTCCACCTTTTTCTTTCCTTCTCCCTTCTCCCCTCTCCCCTCTCTACACACGCTCAATTTCAACGGTACTCTCCCGAAAATCCCTTCATCAGTGTCAAGACAATTATACACTCAATTTAAAATATCTTCTTCTTCTTCGTACGGTCGACTTGACGAACATCAAATCGAGAAATCACATCAAATACAAAAACCCATTTGTTGATCTATTTTGACATCATCTCAATAACCTAAACAAAATAGCCTTGCCAATTTTTTCTCCACAAATTTCTCGCACAGTCACCGCCCACCCACAACGAACAACAACATCAATCTCGAGATTTTCGAAGAACTTATTCGATTCACTTCCATCAAGACAACTTCCCATTAAAAGGATTTCGTCTCGACATTCAAGCCATCTCGAATCCAATCCCCAAGGACATTCCGCACGACAAAGAAGACTTGACAATATCCACAATTTGTTACCGAAAAAGAATTTTACTGTGACTTTCATTAGCCATGGCAGTTCCGACACAAATTGCATACAGAACACTGAAGGGGATTGGTATCTTGGATGCCGCACCCGTCTATCAACCTTTGCCTGGTTTCCAGAGACCCGAAGGTAACTCTCGCTGCTGTACCTATTCGCCATGCGGTCGGTACTTTGCTTGGGCTTCTACTGACGGAGTGTCTGTCATTGACACACATGATGGTCGCACCATCACTACCCTTCCTACACCGAATGTTTACGAATTGGGCTTCTCCCCCCTCGGTTCATACGTCATTACGTGGGAAAGACCCTCAAAGGACGAGAATGGTGATGCGGTCAAGAACTTGAAGATCTGGCGTACAGTGGAGGAAATCGCGGAGGGAGCTGAGAAGGAAGTTGTTGGGAGATTTGTGCAAAAATCGCAAACCGGCTGGAACCTTCAATACACTTTCGATGAGAAATATTGCGCCCGAAATGTTACGAATGAGGTTCAATTCTACGAGAGTGGAGATTTGCGAACGGTTTGGAACAAGCTTCGTGTTGAGGGTGTTGCGGATTTTGCAGTTTCTCCCGGAAACAACTATTCTGTAGCTGTTTTCGTTCCGGAGCGCAAGGTATGTAATGTCTAATTTTTAGGTTGGGAGGTTTGCTAATAGATCACGTCAGGGTCAACCATCTGCCGTCAAGGTTTTCAACGTTCCTCAATTCAACGCCCCGGTTTCGCAAAAGACATTTTTCAAGGGCGACAAGGTTCAATTGAAGTGGAATCAATTGGGTACAACTTTGATTGTTCTCGCCCAAACAGATGTTGATAAGTCGAACAAAAGTTACTACGGAGAGACTACATTGTATGTGTTGAGCGCAAATGGTGGATTCGATTCTAGAATCACTCTTGACAAAGAGGGGCCAATTCACGATGTTTCATGGTCACCAAACTCGAAAGAATTTGGTGTCATTTACGGATACATGCCAGCAAAGACAACCATTTTTAACCAAAGGGCTGTTGCAACTCATACGTTCCCCCTTGGTCCTAGAAACACAATCTTGTTCTCCCCTACTGGTCGATTTGTTTTGGTGGCCGGTTTCGGAAACTTAGCTGGTCAAATGGACATTTACGATGTCGAAAAGGATTACAGAAAGATTTGCACAATTGAAGGTGGAAATCCTAGTGTTTGCGAGTGGAGTCCTGATAGCAAGTACATCTTGACAGCCACAACCAGTCCCAGATTGAGAGTTGATAACGGTATTCGATTATGGCACGTCACTGGTGGAATTATGTACAACGAGGATATGGTCGAGTTATACCACGTTACATGGAGACCACAACGCCCCGAAAGTTTCCCAGCCGGAGACTTCTTGAGCCCAGTTCCTCCACCGCATTCGTCGGCTGTCGCTTACTTGGGTACTGTGAAAACACCATCCAAGCCAGCAGGAGCTTATCGTCCTCCTGGAGCACGTGGCCAAGCGACCCCATCTCACTTTAAGCGTGAAGATGAAGGTGGATCTGCTCATTTTGTCAGCAATGGTACATCAATGGTCAATACCAATGGATTTGGTCGATCTCGTAGACAAGTCCCTGGTGCTGATTTAAGCGAGAATTCTGTTCCAGGTGCTGCACCCGCCGTCCCAGGCGCTGTTGAAGATGAAAATCTTTCAAAGGCCGCACTCAAGAACAAGAAGAAGCGTGAAGCAAAGAAATTAAAGGATGCAGAGGCTAAAGCAGGTGGTCTTGGTGCTGGAACCCCTGATGCTCCAAGAGGTCCAGGTGGTGATCGTAGCCCAGATCGTAGAGATCGTCAACGTAGTCGCTCAAAGAGTAACAACAACATGCGTTCTCCATCTCAGCTTCGAACTCATGGTAACGGTGGTCCTCACAACCTTCATCAACATCCTCACCCCCATCAAAACCAACGTCAAAACGGAGGTGTATCTCCAAATGGAGGCGCAGGTACACCAACCAGTGCAGGTGGAATGAAGAATCTATCAATCAACTCGAATCAAAAACCAATTACTCCAACCCAACAATTTTCAACACCGGAATTGTCAGTTACAAGCCCAGGTGGTGATGGTAGTCCATCTGCTAAGAAGAAGAGAGGATTACAAAAGAAGATTAGAGCAATTGAGGATTTGGAAATGAGGAGAGCTGGTGGTGAGAAGTTGGAGGATACACAAGTGAAAAAGATCGCTACTAAAGGAGCTGTTCAAGCAGAGTTGGATGCACTTGATAGAGAGTAGATCTTTTGGGGGGAAAGTGATGTAGAATGGGAGGAGAGGCTTGATGTAAAGAATTGGCCAGTTAGACAATCCTTTGGAAAAAACTTTTTAATATCAACCTTTTTATTTTATATCATAGTGGTGAAAATGGGTCTATAAATCCAAGGCGCTGGATTTTATATGGTGCATGGGTGGATGGATATGCTGGGCGTGGCGTGGCGTGGCGTGGCGTTGAGTCATGAGATATGAAAGTACTGATCTTGACCTTGGGAAGGTTGGAAGGTGGTCAAGTGGCTTGATATCAATGATTTGTATGTATGTATGTATGTATGAATGAATGAATGAATGGATGAATAAATGATATTTATTAATTATATACAATGGATTGTTAGGTGTCGATGATGTGAATAATATAGATGATATATAATACATAGTACTAGGTAATCAACTACTATCAGCCGAAATCCATTTTCATATCAAAAATCGACATTTTACTACATTTTCAAATTCAATTTTTTTTTTATAAATAATAATCTAAATCTATTAAAACTTTGTTTTTGTATACAATTTATATAATAATAATCGATATTTTTAATATTTTCAACATCTAAAAAATTCCTGATATTAAACTTTGTAAAATTGAATTGAAATATTAGAATATAATTAAAAAAAATCAATCTTATTTTTATTAAATTTTAGTTAAAAATAAATCGATTAATAATAATAATAATAATAATAATAATAATAATAATAATAATAATAATAATAATAATAATAATAATAATAATAATAATAATAATAATAATAATAATAATAATAATAATAATAATAATAATAATAATAATAATAATAATAATAATAATAATAAAATTTAGAATTACAAATAATAAGTTTTGGTGTAAAAACACGTTTCGGCTGATAGCAGTTGATACTTACTATATATATATTGGAATTTTGAGCCTATAGAAATGATATTAATATTATGTGATTGATTTGAATATATATACATCTTAGTATATAATAGTCGGCTCTCACAAACGGCCTCCTAGTTCCTAGTCGGGGAAAGCGGTTGTCCCCGGAAAGCGGTTGTCCCCGTTCCAAAAAAAATCTATTATTTAAAAATAGATTATATTATTGAATTCAATGAGATTATAACAATTCAATAATATCAAATTCATAATTTTATTTGAAGAATTGAGTGAAATATCTACCAAAAAAAGTTAGGGGACAACCGCTTTCCGGGGACAACCGCTTTCCCCGACTAGGAACTAGGAGGCCGTTTGTGAGAGCCGACTATTAGTATATAGTATATAGTATTAGTGCGAATGTTTGGGATATATAGTAAGGGAATATCATTTCTAACAGTGATATTATGATAAATAGATTTATCTGTATTGGAACTTGGTTGGTGAGGAAGTTGATGGGGATAGGAATAAAATCATGAGTATGAGTGTTAGTTAAGAATATTTATATATATTCGTAAAAATGTCATATAATTTTATATACAGTGAAGTAAGTATGTATGTACAACGAATTTCCCATCAAATCATAAAAGTATATACAAAATTCTTTTTCTGATCCCCCGTTTTTTTTTTCTTCTTCAGATTCTTTCACCCAGTGATGAGATCTCGATCGTCGAGAATTTATTTTCCTCATACATCTTTTCAAGTTCCCTTGGTGAAAATCTTTCTGATCCTCAATTTGGATTTGAGGCTAATCACATAGTATGAGAACGAGAGAAATCACAGACGATTTAGACAGAAGGCCATCCGTTGGTGAAGGTGAGATAGTTGTATCCGAAGAGATAATTTGCATCTGCGATACCGATGGTTGGGTTTGCGTAGTGGTAGTAGAGGATTGGTCCGGAGGATGAGAGATAGACACCCCTAGTTTGTGGTTAGTATGTGAATGTGTGTATATCAAACCGCCCAGATATTCCCATATGGAAAGCACACTTCAAGAAGATATTTCGACAAAAAGAAAATAAACTTACTGTCCACCCGGTCCATAAACATTCCCATGACTAGCTAACAAAGTCGTTCCACCACCAGCCGACAAAGCCTTCCCACTCTGGTCCACGAAATTTCCAGTCGCGGTTTTGCTTCTTCCCATGATGATTTTGTATTCTGCGCCTTGGGCAGGCTTGTCGGTATCGTAGTGGCAGCAAATACCAGATGAGATGAGGAGGTAGTAGTATCCGGAATAATAAAACATGTAGGAGCCTTCTTCGGAATGGGTGCCGCTAGAATTATAGGCGAGGTTGTAGGAAGCGGAACCGCCGGCTTTGGTGGGGGTCGAGGCCATGGCTACTTGGTAGATGTCGTCCCAGAAGGAACCGAAGTTGAGACTGTGGGTTGGGAGTTAGTTTGTGTGGGAGTTGGGGATGGAGAGTAAAAGGAAGGAGAGACGAACTAATAGGTACTGCCGACCAAGATAAGATTAGGATCAATAGCATTGTAAAGTTTGCCGGGTGAGGATGCAACACCAGTAGCACCATGATCGGTCCATGATCCTACTTCCATGGTGGTGGAGGTTGCAACTCCGATTGCTGAGTTTTGGGTGCCGAAACTCGAAACAGCATAGTACATGTAGTAAGTGGAGCCGACGAGATGAACATCAGGTGCCTATATTGTGATGAGTATGTCACTTTATATTTTTGTCTTTATTCTTCAACTGCATGATAAATAGATAGAGAGAACAACATAAGTTGAAGAAGTGAAGGGAAGGAAGCATACCCAAAGATCGCTATTTCCACTCAAATTAATACTACTTTTACTCAAAGCATCACCAACATAAGTCCAAGGACCAGCTAATGCAGTAGCTTTCCAAATACCAATACCATTTCCGGTATTGAACTTGAACCAAGTTCCATCACTTGAACGTTGGATCAAGGCAGGATCATGAGCGTAGCAATTACCAGAACAAGCACCTGGATTTGCATATGCAGCAACGAGACTAAGAAGCCCTAAAATCGGGAGGAGGATCCGAGAAAACATGATGAGAAAGGATGATGATGGTGAGGAGATGAGATGAAACAATATGTGAGGGAGATCTGGAGCTTATATGTAGTACGGATATACTGAGGTACTTCTCATCCCATGTCTCTCCTCTATTTTTCTTGGCTGCTTGTCAGATAGACTACTCTGCCGGGAAAATGTTACTAGAGGTTCATCTCTATGTACTTAATATGGAACTCATCAATAGCCGTCCCATTCTCAGGGTCTCTCGAATCTTAGTTTCCTTGTCATAACAACCCAATAATATAAGGGATAAGATCTCTCTGATTACATACACTCACACAGCCGCCGCATCTATTCATACATTCGAATCAACATTATGTCAAATACGTGCCTGAACTTCCGATCTTCCGAACATTCTAAGCTTTTGACTGGTGGATCCCACATGCATCTTGAAAATCGATTTGTATCAGGATATCTCCCCCAGTGCTGATCCACCTGGCACGCGGTCCTAGTAACTATCTCCTTGCCCTGTGCCTGGTAACTCTAATTCGAAACCGACTCCAAATATCCAGAATGTGAAAAGCGCACCAATAAAGTTTACGAAAAGAGGACCCGGAGAAACTTCTCTTGGCAAGTTGAAAGCCGACATGTGTAGATGAAAATTCATCTCGGCATCGAGGTATTTGGTGTGCGTTTCTAACCTCTTCCCGTGAAAGTAGTCGCATAGATTTCATCACTCCTGCATCTTGCGGGGTCCACGTGGTATATTCTCCTTTAGCCGACCACTTGAGATTCAACATCACATAATCTAGCGCTTGCTATTATGTTATCTTTCCCATCCCGTCTGATCCGTTCCGTCGCTTCGACTCAAGACAATTGGTGGATTCCATCTTCACAGTATCACATTTGTCCCATTATTTCCCCAAATGGAACATGGAGAAAAGAACCCTGTTGCTTGTAGCGAGTTTTCAACTAGGTACGCAGTGGTAAGGTCACTTTGTATATTCCATTGGGCCCTGTAAATGCCGATGAGGTGGAACTTCAAAACCCCGGGAAAGACGCTATGCACCCCACAACAAGGAACTTGTAATTTCTGATGCATGTAGAAATGTCCGAATGAGGGTGGACAAAAACCACCATACGTGAATCTTCTCTTCGAGACCTCGAGAATCGAGATAGGAAGACAAAAAGTGCGGAATTCATCTCTTTAATTTCGTAAAGCTTGATACGAGTTGCGAGAATTTCGTTTCGGGTATAGATTCGGATTAATCACTCGGGAAATAGGAGATTTTTCATTGGTCCACTTACGTTTATTTGTTTGTCTACTCCACTGTCTTCAACAAACATTTCCTCTTTGAGAATCGGACTATGGTGAACTTGGTAAGCTTACAGGAACAGCAACGAGGGGAAATGCAAAAATGGGGGTGCGGTCTCATTGGAGCGAAAGCATGCTTCCGTTCCTGCAACGTTCGAGTAAGTGGCGCATGGACTCTTCTTGGCTGTAGGTTGAGTCTTGTTCCGCTTGACTAACGAATGATTGTTCATCTGATCTGGAATACACACTAACTAACATGGCGGCCCGGCCCTGAGTTAAAGTTAGATGTTGATTTTAACCTTTACTTTTACTCTACGTGAAGTTTGGAATAGACTATTAAACTAGAGTAGGATTAGTTCCAAACATTACAGAAGAAAGTTTGGAATTGGAAGCGCGCGAATGAAAAGAGTGGTCTGGAATCAAATTCTGGTAGGCCTTCCCAACTTTCATTGAAGTACACTGGGTGATACTACTCTTCTGTGCTGCGCGATAGAATTCAGATGCCAAGAGTGGAGTTGGATATTTATGTATATTTTCGTAAGTCAAGTACAGTAAAACCTCTCTATAAGAATACCGGTTTTTGTAGTCTTTTTTTAAGGATATATAGAGATATCCTTGTATAGAGGTTCTGCTTAATTCCGATATAGTAGTAATTTCCTTCCGATTAGTTCCGATCAAACCAATTTCGTGACATTTTTAGGGTTTCAATAAAATCTCTCTAAAATCCGGATAAATTTAGATATATTCATTATATAATAATTGATTTTAATGATTTTATTAATCCAATAAGAATATATATAATCCTGGGATTGAAAAATATAAGGATATCCTAATAAAAAGGTTTTAAGGATATAGATCATTTTTAGCCCAGAAATTTTTTGAAACTGAAAAATATATCCTTATAGAGAGGTTATTCTTATAGGGGGGATCCTTATGGAGAGGTTTTGCTGTAAGCATTTTATATTATTCTCTTTCTTTTCACGTTAAGATTCTGCGATTTCAGCTGTAATTATAAGCATCAGTCTTCTTTCTTTTCTTTATTTTGCTGTTAGTCTTCAGTTTATCGAATCGAACTCTTTCAAATCTTTCTACAGTTCTCATGTCTTGCCTTTATCTATAACCCACGCGGCCCCGTATTCGGATCCTATACACCCAATTTCATAACTAGCTTCCAAAACATGATTTTATAGTTTTATAACCTTTTTGATAAAAACGATTAATAATAAAATCCCAACTTTATCAATATAACTTCAAAATCAAAAATCTCTATACCAAATGAAAACGATCAATTAATTCAATTATCATTTAAAATTTGAAGCAATTTAGATTTATATTGATTAATTAATAGATAGTTTAAAATAATATAATATTTCGAAGATTTTAATAAACAAAATAGATTAATCATAATTAGCTTCTATTCAGTTTTTAAATTTTCATTTTAAAATTTCAATCTTAATCAATATAATTTAGAATCAAATAAAATTTAAATAAATGATAGAATCAATTATTCTCTATTATATAATATTATATTTATTCAAATTGAAGCCAGATTAATAAAATTATTATAGATTGAAATATCGAAATATAATATTGAAATGTTTTTAACAAAGTATAGAAAAGTCACGTTTTGAAAGCTAGTTATGAAATTGGGTGTATGTAGTCCAGATAGCCGTAACCCATGCATCGTATATCCGACGGATATCGGTATCGACTCATATCAGTATGGATGGGTATAAAAATGATCAGAGCCATCTTGTTTAACACAAGGATATTTTGGTTGTTAAGACCACTTCGATGTTTTATCATGCTTGGTGTCCTGGGATGCTTTCCCTGAATAGAATACTACCATAATCTCTTTAGCTTTTTTAAAAGTATCCCGATGAGATAACATACTTCCATTTCATTTCGGACCTGGACATCTGTGGTGATAAAATAATAAATGGTTGATCAGTCTACATGCTGGGTATATTACAACGCAGGTGAAAGTGCTGATCTAGATGGTCCATTGCTTTCATGTCCTCATGGCTCGTATTTGCTTCACTCCTCTTTCGGAAATCCTAGGTGGTATATCGATAAGTAGCGAAAGGCTCAGGAGTAACTTCACTCACAGCGATATCCTAACGAGCATCTAACCCATCAACGATACCATCCTCTTTCATCTGTTTCGAACTCACTATTACTCTTACATACCCCTCCCTACAGAATCTCTGTATCAATCCCCTTACCATCTATCTTATGGTACCTCGTTCCTCAACTTCTGTTCAACATATCTTGTTCAACATCAAATCACAATCTAGTCAGAGCCCCCATCAACGAAGTCCCCATCGTTCTTAATCTTAGATATAGACTAGTTTATTCATCATTCAGTTTATATGAGAGTTATAGGACGGAGAGATAGGTACATTTTCCTTCTTCTTCTATTTAGAATGTTTTGATATCCATATTTCCGTTTCTTTTCATCGTCTTCTGTCTCGTCCACTCTGCCCATATTCTTCGATTGCTCTCTCCTTTCCCTATGATTTCCTCTCCCTCCCCTTTCTCTTCCTCCACTCCCCACAACCTCACTAACCCACTCTTCCCTCCACATTTTCTTCACTCTCCCCAAACAAGATTCAAATCTCCAATCCCAATCCCAATTCCAGTCCAACCCCAACGCCAGCATCAAGTACATGCCCATACAACACAACTCATCACATCCCAGCTTAACTTCCAAACCCAATGAATCACAAGACTCCCAGTCCCGAGACACTCTAGGCTCTAGAAGCTACGTTTGCTGTAGCTGGTATTGGGTACTTTGAACAAATACAAAGAGCGGAGGAGAAGAGGGATGAAGACAAGGGATGGAAAGTATAAGTTGACTGAGTGAGTCGGATGAAATGATAAAAACAGAAGGGTGATGAGTCGTATAACGATGATGTAGAACCCGATTGCTGAGATAATTTTTACCAAGCTACCAAGCTTTATAAAAGGGGGTATCGACGGGACGGTTTCTTTAGGTCAGAGATGATATTCAAAAAGAAGAGGAGAGCATGATCAGATAAGCGTGGGTAGCGTCGAATATAATCTTGATGTACAAGATATATCTGAATAATGTAATATGCAATAATTTCCGTAGCAGGTACCCCTTCATTTTCCTGATATTATCAATCTGTAACCGAGACGCCCAAGACGCGATGAGCTTCCAGTCCATAGGTATTCATATCTCGTTATGATGTCGGTTTTCGTCTATCCTCCATGTCTTTTCTGGCTGGTTTCAACTTCATCTCAGCCTTACTATTTACCATGACTCCACTTGATGAATATCAAAGTTGTTCCCTCGCAAATTCCAGTCCATATGAATCAATGAACCCCTCACCTTCCCTTGAAAACAGGCTTCCTCTTCTCTCTAAAAGCAGCCAACGCCTCATCTCTATCTTCCGTCCCTACAACCCTTCCATACATATCATTTTCAACATCTTCCCTCGCCCAGCCAACAGCTTTCAATGCACTCCTTACTGCCACGGGACCTCCCTCACAAATCGTCCCAGCCAAGTGAACCGCCTCTCTCAAAACGGCTTCCTTAGCCCGTTTCATCACATCTCCCTTCTCTTTTCCATCTCCCTCCCCTTCCCCTTCATTCTCCTTAACCTCAACCAAGCGATCCGCGATTCCTAGAAAATACGCTTCCGGACCACTCACTCTCCTCCCTGTCAATATCAAATCCCGCGCTCTTCCGATCCCTATCAAAGCTGGAAGTCGGTGTGTTCCGCCCGCGCCGGGTATTATACCAAGTCTCGTTTCTGGCAAACCAACGACGGCCGTAGAAGCAAGAACACGCATATGTGTACAAAGAGCCAATTCGAGACCACCACCAAGAGCAACCGATGAAATTGCGGAGATGGTTGGAATCGGAAGTGCAGAAAGTTTTGTAAATGTGGAGCGGAGATTGTGGAGGAATGTTTGAGTCCTATTGATGTTTATTTATGATTAGTCTGTATTTTGTATTGCAATTCAACCACCAAATAAATGAACAAGAACATACATCTCAGGTGTGAAAGTAGCTCTCTCTTTCAGATCCGCCCCCGCACAAAATACCCCGTCAACCTCACTGGTGATGATCAAAGCTCTCGTTGGTCCATCTTCTCCCTGCGGCCTAACCTTCCTTATCTCATTTCCCTCTGCGTCATATTCCGCCGCAATGTCATCTACATGCGCGCGCAATTCTTGTAGTAATTGAATGCTAATAGCATTACGAGCTTCGGGGCGACATAATGATAGAACACGGATGGTACCGTTGGAATGCGGGGTTGGAATTTGGAAGGAGGAAATGAATTGTGGTCGACCTGATTTGGCCGTGGAGTAAGATCGTGGAGTGACGAGTTTAGGGAGCGTAGATTTGAGGGAGAATTGAAGGAGTGGCCGCATTTTAATTAAGATTGTGGATTGACGAGATTGAAGTGAGGATATTGATATTGATATTGATATCAATATAATAATAATGCGGAGAGAACCTCGGGAAGCTTTGTATGTATGCGGATATCAGCGGGTACTAGCGGACGGATTCTATAGAGTGATTTAATGTAAGATCCCGAGGTCTTACAAGGAAGACACAACTAAATATAACGATGTCATCACTCACTCTTGAATCGAATCGCTAATCAAATCCACAAGACCAATCCAGAACCAAGATTAATAATCTTCAGCCCCGAATCTTACTGTATCAAAATTATAGATACATATACCTATCTTACATATATCTTACATATAAACTCGACATCTAATACCTAATACTTGAATTATCATTGACCTTCCCTCCTCGAAGCAATCAATCTCAACTGTCCTCCAAAGATGTCCGATCCAAACCCTTCAAACGGCGCAACGGTCGCCTCACTCCCACCCGCAGCCATAGCTTTAGCAACCAGGATGTACGACGCAGCTCGAAATGGGGATATCGAGATTTTCGAACAAGCTTTACCTCGAGGACTACCGGCTAACATGACAAATGAGAAAGGCGATAGTCTCGTAAGTTTTAGTTTTTAATTAAGAATCGTTGATTACGTTGCCATCTACGACGCCCAGCAAGTCTTGGTGACTCCATATCACGTGACATTCCTTCTTTCACATGATTTGACCTTCGATGCTACAACTTTTGATTCAATGGACGCTCTCTGACCTGGAAAATAGATAATGTTAGCAGCCTACCACGGTCATGCACCACTCGTTCGACTTCTTCTTCAGCATGGTGCGAATCCCAATTCGTTGAATGATCGAGGACAATCTCCTTTAGCAGGTGCTGTCTTCAAGGGAGAATCTGAAGTTATCGAGGTATGCAAATCTCTTTTACTTTCCTGTCAAACTTTCTCGAATCTCTGGATTGGTGATTTTCTAGATTCTAATAAATTAATAGGCATTACTCGAAGGCAATGCAGATCCAGAACATGGTTCTCCAAGCGCAATGAGAGCCGTAGAATTATTCAAGCAAGAAGAGAAATGGCTCAAGAAGTTTGAGGAGGCACCTGGCAGAGGAAAGGCTTTGTAAAGAATAAGAATAGGGTACGGTGTTTTGGTTCGGACGATAATCGGGTCTCGAGAGGTGTTAGGTCTTCTAGGTTATGTACACTATTTGACATTGAATCTGCAGTACGTCTCCGTATTGTCATAATAATCAATTGCTGCAAATCACTTGCGACCCTTTTTGGTTCTTATTTATAGGGAAACGAGACAAGGCCCCTCTATGAACAATCCGACAAAGCAAAACGAACACCATATAAGACCCAAAACATCATCGACGCACGACCACCGTTTGCAATTTTCCCATCCTTCTCCTAGCCACCTCTTCCCCCCCATATCTCTCCTTCTCCACCCCTTTCATCCCCACACTAATTAGGCACAACATCCAACCCATACCCTTCCACCGGCAACGCCGTACTACACTGTCCCCAAACCTGCACACTAACCGGACTAACCGTCAACGGCCCACACGTATTCTGCGTCTGAGTAAAACTCCCCGAGTACCCCGTGATCGCACAATATCCCGTTCCATCCGCGACGATCTTTGCAATCTTGAGGGGATTATCAATGACGTAGTTATTTCCATCCACAGGGAAAGTTTGCTGGACTAGAAAGGGGGGTGGGGTTAGTGGTGAGACGAGGAGAGTATAGGAAAGAGAGCAGAACAGAGAATACATACATGAATCACCATTTCTAGCATAGAAAGTAAGGACCACATCTCCCGCGCTAGGATAATCATTTCGTGCGATGTGAGGAACAGTAGTATTCAAATCACTTCGTTCAACGTGCGCAGTAGTAGTATTCAAACCTCTCCTTGACAGAAAAGCATCACCTTCAGTAAAATGATCAACCGGTGCCGCAAAGACACACGAGACCATCAATGCCACGAAAGTAACAAGAGTCAAGGTATTCATCTTCTACCCTCGAATCCTCAAGTACGCAAAAATAGGAAAAAATTATTGAGAAGAAAAAGAGGATCGATAGTTTCTGTGTTTTATAGCTTGAGAATGTGGTCAAGTTTAGATATCTCTTCAACACCAGATACCAATTCAAGTTATATATCCCATCTACATCGCCCAAGACTTTCATAACCCGTATTGAGCCGGTCCCTTTTTGAATACACATCATGAATCAATAAAAGAAAAATTTGCACTCAAAAAATTGGAAAGGTCGCTTATGGTCATCAAGAGGCCTTATTGCTGAAAGTAGAATGTTAAATCGTTAAATAGCAAATGTGATGTTAGCGGCAAAGAGGGGGACTTTTGACAGACCCCGCGACGGGTTACTTTGTGGGTCGCTGAAATTTTCATCAATGTTGGAATTTCAGGTGAATGATTGAATAAGAAACAACAAGTAGTGCAAAGCGAGAATAAATAGTGAAGAACAAACTTATATCTTGTCTTCATATCTGATATATCTAAAACCACAGAATAGTATTTGCGCACCCCTTTCTATAAGACACACCTGCAATGCCGCCAAACTTTTGACTTCTATCTTTTAACACCATTTCAAGCCAGTCCCATTCATCATAACACATTAATTCATCTGATTATTCTCACTGCAAAATCAAATCATCTACTCCATCTCACCAACCCAAACCCTTGCTCTCAACCTCTGCACCACCTCCTTTCTAATCCACCTCATCTCTCTTCCCTCCTCCATAGCTTTGTCGGCCCACTCAAACAACAGCCTTAATCCTAATAATCTGTCCTTATTCCCGCTATCTAGCGTCGCATGTTCAAGAATCAATCTAGAATCCACGGATGTTTGTTCTGTGCCTGCATGAATATCCCTTGGTCCACCATGATCGGGCGGCAATACCAACGCCCTCTCTGCTTTAGTAAGTGTTGAGAAAGCAGGGAGTTCAAAAAGCCATTGAAGGGATTGATTGGCTGTTTGATCAGCTTCGTCTAAGGCTTGAAGAGTAGCTTTGAATGCGTTGGTGCTAGCATCGTGAGCTGGGCGTTTCCGAACGTATAGAATTTGAGTTGATTTGAATGCTTCCACGTGGGCTTTATTGCTCTCTAGATCCAGAACAACATTCCAGTATTCAGGACTGCATGTTCGAACCGTTTTGATTTGATTAATTTCTGGGATAAGGCAAGGTGTGTGGCGTTCCTCTTCTTTCCCATCACGAAGTGTAATTTGAAGAGGTATTGGAACAGGTTGATCAGTGTCAATATCTCTTGTAATAAGGCACCTAGGTTCCGCGGCTAGGACCCAGAAGTGACGGAAAGCTTGTAAGTGAGATTTGTTATCCTGAACAGTTGATGGAAATATCGGATAAAATGCCACAAGCAATGCGGCAATTGCTTTATCTGAAGTTCCGAAAGTGAAAGTACCACCACCCAAGAATAATGCACCAATGGCCAGATGAGCTGCAAGATGACTACCATATGGTGTTTCACTATCATCACGACCGTGCATTGAACGAAGTCTACGAAAAACAGCAATATCTCCGGTGCCCGCCATGACAGTAGCTACGCCAAGGGCCACCAAGTCTTGACAATTGCGGACGGTGTTTCTTGCTAACTTCTTATCAAATGAGTCTGCTTCGATTTGACATATTCGTCTAAATTCATCTAAATAGTGTAGCAGTATATCTCTTGCGGTCAAATTCGCTGAACCGGCAAATCTCAAAGCAATGCTGAAACAGAGCCCAGTCAGTATATCGTAGAATGGAAGGTCTGCTGATGTCAAGGTTCTGATCCATTGCAACGAACTTCGACTCTTGTAAGGAGCAGGCAAGCTCTTTTTGATCCATTTGTGTGAAGGCTCAATCTTACTCCACATTATTAAGTGCCGTGCAAGTGTTCGAAGTAGGAAAGCGTCTGGTCGAACGTAATCAAATTGGAGAACAGAATCTGGTACGTCTACCTTGCGAGCCAACACCTGATTCTCCGACTTCATATAAATAAGTGCAACAGAAATTATTGCCGCAGCCGTGGACTTGTCCAAGATATGTACAAGGTCAACTTTTTTGCTTCCGGCAGCCAATGAAATGAGTCTTTCTGTGAGTCGCATATCGTGAAGTCCTTTCAGATCAGAGCCCTTGCCAAGATTGATAAATCCAAGGGCAAACCCTGCCGCAAGTCGATAGCCTTCGTTTCTCAAAGGCTCCTCATCAACTTCTTGATCAATATGCTCCATCTCAGATACCATGATCTCGCTCATCCGACGATGTTGGGTGTTACAATATAACAAACCAATACCCATGATACCAGTAGTCTGTGTAAGTGGAGAAAGGTTCAACTCGGCTGCTCCAGGTGGGAGCATTCTTGTCACATGGACTGATAGTAGCCGTGTAATCAATGAATCCATAGTACCAATATAGGATGCCGCCAATCCTAAAAGTAGTCCAATCGATGTCATTGTATGCTTTGGTGTCAGGTATCTAAAAGCAACCCACTTTGCTACAGATTTAAGATGGCCATTGAGACCAAGTGCTAGTAAGAACCCGGCATGACGATTACTCAGATCTTGTTGTGGCTTGTTGTAAAGAATCCATGAAGTATCAATACCTTTTGCATCTCGAGAAATGCTAAGACCGGCAGATACGCCTGCGTGGAAGAATGCCCAACAGACCTTTTCTTCCGTGAATGCATTTTTGTCAACACCTATGGTATTGTTATTTGGCTTCATGACACAGCTTAGATTGAAACCCCCGATGGCAAATCTTTGGGTTAAAAGAGGGATGCGAGCACTGTAATATAGTAATCCTTTGCCAGATGGTATGGCCAAAGTGCGATAAGCCAACATTTGAGCGTGCTCTTTTTGAGCTTCTAACAATTCTGATTCTGTCCAGTCAGGTGAGGATTTGACACGAGCAATTGTAGATCGGAACGTGTTTAAAATATTAGATGCTTCATTAACTCTTCTGTCATCTTTGAAGATGGCCCGAGTAATAGCTTGACGATCTACTTCGGCGGATCCATCGAACGCTCCAGTTGTTTCAATTTCCGTTGTAGATGCGCAGATAGCATGAACGTCCAGACTTGATTCATGTGATGGTGGCTATAGATGTTAGCTTTTGTTGACGCAATAGAACTCTTGACTCACTAATAGAGAGGGCTGGAAGTTTCGAGCCGAACGGCCGGGCGTTAACAGCATAGTAACATCTTCACGACCAACCAGTGCAAGTAGTTCTCGACTCCATGTTGTTGGAGGTTCACTTTGACATTCGACGATTGCTTCTTGAAGAGGTGCAAGTATAGCCTCTGGTAAAGTCTCAAGAAAAAGGCTATCTACTCCAGAAGCAGACAGTGCTTCTACGAGTTGTACAGGAGACCATCCATCCTGCATGCATGAAAAAAATTGAGCAAGTTGCAGAGTTCTTGGTGTTGAGCTACGCCATCGCTCAAGATCTCTGACACCTCTGGTAGGAATGGCAGATCTGAGTGTCACTATATCTTGAAGTGTTAAGAAGGGCATCAACCTTCGACCAAGAAAACAATCCTGAATCCATGTGTAAATTGATGGACAATCAAACGGCTCAGCAATTTTATTTGCGAGAACGAGATCTACGAAAATGGTGAGCGTTTTCCAACTTGCACACAGAGTATAGAAGCTTACCGATGTCATAAGGTGCATCTACTAAAGAGGCTTCTTCAGTCTCATAAAAATCTATCCAGCTTTCCCACCTGAGCCATCGGACAATTTGAGTTAGTACCGGTGTTAGAGTAGATACGCCAGTACTAAAGGAATCGGCTGTCGTTGTGTTAAGCTTTCTCTCCTCGCGCAATAAATGTAAGGCGGTGAGAATATCAATCAGAGCAGCTTGACGAAGCTCAAGGGATTTATTAGTTGCTGTCGGTAGATAGCCTGTAACCGCTTCCTGGCCCAATTTTGAGTAGAAAAACGTTTGTGCAAAAGTCACATGCCTTTTAGTAAAGGTTTCCTTGTCCTTGGTTGTAGATAGAAGGCTTTCCGTTTCAGAGGAAGGAAAAACTCCGGAGTCCTCTTGTTCATTCAGGAGCCATTTCCATCCACCACTGTTAAGCCAAGGCGGCATAGGGTTTCCATAAGGAGCCAATCGACTGAGCATAGTCTCATAGCAACTCACATCCACTTGCCCGCCACTGCTAGATCGTAATAATGCTGCACGTGATTTTCTTGTGGCGTGAGCCTTCTTCTGAGGCTGTTTGGCTGCGCTAAAGCTGATAACCATTGAGAATAGAACAATGAGTAGAGACGTCCATTCTGCATCTGCAGTTTCAACAGATTCGAGCTCAAGCCACCTCATAGCATTCCACCATGTAACAAGCATTCCTTCGCCTCCACTTGCACCTGGTAAAACTTTAGTGCACACCTCAAGAATTTTAGCCACGTAAGGACTGCGTGGCTGCATGAGTATTTGCAGCTGATGCATTTTGCCTTCGTCATCTACCAAATCGACTAGCCCTCGAGGTTTTGGATTACGCAGACCCTTTAAAGCACGAGGACCTTGACTAAGCACTCTCTTGAAGCTTCCTTCCCTCTTTTCACGTGGATGTTGGTCGTGACTCAAGTTTCGAATGTTGTGTATGACGAAATTTGCAGGCAGAGTCACCTTCATGAGAATACTCCATGGGGCTTGTAGACTTAGTTCTCCAAAACCGTCATCTGTTTCAGTCAAAACTAGAATCCGAGATATATCGCCGTCGTCGAATTTGCAAGCATCGATCACGCCTGGAGCTCTCATAACTTCCTTCAAGTTGACTAAAGTTATTTCCTTATCTGAATTTGGAGAGACCTCATTGTCATTGTAGTTGGCTCTTCTATGAACTTTGGTGTTAAGAGTCATTACAAGAAGCTTTTTCTCGTCTGAATCCAAGATACATATGACTATTGAATTTCCCTGCTGATCATCTGCCGCAGACGGTGGTGCAGGTAGTATAAAGATCTTACATTGACTCTTTGCGGGTATATGTTGACTCGAAAAGCGAAGATTACTATGTTCGGCGGAGACACTACAGACTTTGGTAAGGATGATCTCCTGTCTAAGAGCGTCAAATTCGTCATCATCAAGGCCCATATCGTTGAAGCCGCCAAAATCACCCCCAGCACGAAGTTGATCGAGAAGTTCGTCAACAGGTGCTTCAAGGAAACTATTGACGCTCTGGCTCAATTGACTGGGCTGAGAGAAAGCTTGCCCATTTAGTCCAATACTCGTTCTGGTATGCTGGCTTCCCAAAGAATCGCGAAGTCGACCTGCATTGTGCTGATGACCAGTTGCCAGTTCAGAGAAAGCATTTCGCTCGTGTGAAGCGGATAGATCTGCTCTTGCTAGCATTGAGCTTACACGTCGGGAGCTTCTCCTGGGCATAATTCCACCTTCATAATCGGGATCAAGAGTAGAGGCAAAATCGATTTTTTTGTCTTTTTTCGCATCTTCAGACCATGCAGGAGTTTTCTTGAATCCAGGGGTGACTCCGCCAAAGCTTTCTCGCATCGTTTGCTGACTATTTCCTATGGGTGTTGTAGCACCTGTTCCGCCCGGCATGAATGAGCTTCGTCGGCGCGACGCTGCACCACTCGGAACTCGAGATTTGCCGTTCGGTATGGTTTCTTGTCCAACATAAGTCAGCTTCCACACAGTATACATACTAGTCTCGCGATTCAGGGTGATAGCCAGTACAAGAGGGTTTTCTGAGTCCTTGGCAGAAAATTCGTTCGGTCGAGATACATGAAGGATCTCTTCCGAAGGGTCCAATGTTGATATCTTGCCAGAACTCCTACGTTTTACTCGGCCGTCAGACAAGCCTGGCTGAGCAACGACTAAACCCATTTCTGACAATGGATCGGATAAGGAAAATAATCGTGGCCAATTTGCATCACTTTGAATAGAAGGAGGTTCCCACAAATCTCCCAGAGTAGACATTTGAGTTGGCATCTGCATAGGAGCACCCAAGTCCGCAGTGGAAAAAGTGGACTGGATTGAACTTGTCGCAGACCATGGTTGAGGCTGAGACGAGACAAAAGAGTTGGGTGGTACTCGTGGAAACTTTATAGATGCTGCAACATTAGTTTCTGAACGTAGCTTTCGCTGTATAATGAGACCGATAGGTGCTGCAGTGGCAGACTCGACCTCAAATGGCAAATGTATAACATGACTAGTTCCAGAGAGAAAGTAAACATGCGCCTGCGTCTTCAAGAACACTACAATTGCCTTCTCCTTTGTATTCAAGCCCTTCTGATGTGTCTTTGGTGTTCCTTTCTTGGATGGTAGTGGTCCCACGCTGGGAAATGAGGTCAACAATGCCTGTGTAATGGGTTCTTTCTCGAGATCAAAATTGTAGCTTTTTCGAAAAACCCCTCCCCGAGACCAAATCACACATCTTGGTGTAACTAATAGTTCGTCGTCGACTTCTGAGCCTGTATCATCGTCGCAAACATTATACCAGTCGTAAGAACTACTAGATGCATCTGCAGTCAGGTATCCTTCTTTAATAGCATATTGAAGTCCTGTAGGTTGATGTAGACCTAGAGAATTGACCAAGGCCATATTTTGGAAATATTGTGAAAAATCATGAACGCATACAATCTGCCATTATTTTCCCAAGTTTGTTCGTCGCACTCTACCTTTATATATCTCGGATCTTTACGATAATTGCCTCTCCTTCATTCTTTGAGTACTTTCTAGGAAACGCGTCGTGAATGTAGAAGGCGCGAACAAGAACAAGGCTGCATCGAAGGTTATGATCAGCCAGTGCACGGACCATACGAGGCTACAGCATCAACTCCCCGCAATCAATCTTCAGATTGGTTGTCTACAGTATGAGTGAGAATGCCTACCTAGGTAGTTCAAGACAACAGTTTACATCGTCGCTCATCACTGGGTCGAAATCTATCATGGCGACATGAGACTCAACAACGTTCTACCACTTCCGATACTGTTACTTGTTCAACTGGCTTTTGATTGATTAGTCGCTTGACTTGCTGTGAGTGAGATAGTCGGTCTTGTCTTACAGATGGAATCGTAGCCCTCATGAATATTACTGTATTAGGAGGTAGTCATGACAGCTTAATCACAATATCTGATGTCGAAAACAATATCAAGAAGCTGCTTTGCCCTGAGTTTTGTTGTCTACCTCGTCCGATTAATAGCCAAGCACGCACAAGAGGAAAGTTCCTGTATTTGCTATGTTGCATCATCTATAAGCTAGGTTATTGCTTAAAACACATCTCTTATATTGATATAGTTTATTAGAATTTCTCAAACCAGTAAATTCTTATGTTTTGGGATTGGGATTGGATTATCTTGTACTCTTGGTCTTTGCTCTCATTCACGATTTAAATTTGAGTCTTTGACTCGTTCGTTCGTTCTTATAAGCAGTCGATGAGAAAACATTTCATTTATTTTCCGTTTCAAATGTAATGATCCTCCGTTGAAGTAGAAATGCTATATTTACGTACTGATGAATCAGTTATATTTCCCTAATACCGAAGTTCGTTAATACATTGTTGCGAAGAAAACGTTCTGATTTCCAGTCCCTCACTGTATACTCATAAGTCACCCTCCATTTACTGGTTTATGACACATCTTGCTTCCTTCTCCAGTTTTCAGATATCTAAGCTTAATGACTTCTAATCAGCTTCGCCAATTTCTCAAACAACTCCCGTCTCTTGATAGCAATATCCGAGATGCTACCAGCAGAAGCTAGATCTCCGATGAAAATGGTGTCTTCACCGCTGCATAGACCGGTGTATGCTTTGGCTGTAAATTCGCCGGCGGGCATACCTAGTTTACGACCGTGGGGTCCCATATAGTTGTGGAGTTCGGCTGGTGTGAGTGTTAGTTTGGATGGAATAGGCAACAAGAAAGCAACGGGCGGGAATGAGGTGAGAGGATTGAAGTAGGTGACGGGACAATGGAGGCAAGATGGCGGAGATGGAATAGGAAGGTGAGCATCAAACTTACTTTGAACCATAGGAGGGGATAACTCGATGACCTTTACTGACGTGTCCCGAAGGTCATCCCTCAAGCAAAGAATGAATGAGCTGAGAGCTGCCTTGGAAGCAGAGTAACCTGTTAAAGTTACGGCTGGCACCATGCTCAGGTTTGTAGTTGTGCTTTTATCTCGTTAGCCGATGTTCGTTTCCTAAATTGGAAGTGACATAGAAGTCGTGACGAGGTAACTAACTAGATGAAGCTGGTCTCCTGCTTCTTCTCTAAAAGATACGGAAGAAAAGCATGAGTTAATACCACGAAGCTGGTAAAATTCACGTGCATCTCATAGTTGAAGCCCTTGATATCGACACTTTCAGGCTTAGAAAAATCATGTTTGCGTTGATATCCTGCATTGAGGAAGACGCAATCGATATCAGGAGAGCTCTCAATCACGTCAGCTGCAAATTGAGAGGCTTTCTCAGTATCACCGATATCGAAAGGGATGGATTTCGCTTGATCGCCATGCTTGGCTACAAACTCATCGAGTCGATCCTTGCGACGACCGACGATGGTGACTTTACATTCTTGAACGAGACGTTCAGCCATTGCAAGACCGATTCCAGATGTAGCTCCGATGAGAAGAACGTGCTTATAAGGGAATGTCATTTCGAGAGGTTGATAGCTTTGATAATACGGAATTGATAAGTGGAATGTTTCAATTTGAGATATTGAGAAGTGACACTGGCTTTCATAAAAACTTTATAGTATTTACACCAAGGAGTTAACAATCTTAAGTCCCACAAATGTCATGGATCGGACTTTGAGATGGGTCAGATATGAGCGCCATCAGAGCTCTCCTTAATCCAAAGGCATGATGTCTATACCGCTCTCCATCTCTAGCTAAGACAATGGATTGAAGGCGAAGTTCACAGCCAATACTTTTAATGATTTTCATTGGTCAAAGGTTTAGCGTCGAAATGTATCCCAGAATAGGTTAGGCTTGGAATGTTTGTGGATCATTCTCACGAGTGGAACTATTAACTCTTCTTCTAAATTTCTCCATCCGTTGGCTTGTTGAAGTCAAAGAAAATCGAACAGTCTTCTTACAAAAAGAGAGAGAAATCACCAAATTCAATTCAAAGTCTAACCAACCAGCTAACCAGTCAACTTGTCTAAATTTGGGTAATTATCTACGACTTATTCGCTTAAATTGATAGAACCACACCTGCTAAATTATCCATCGCGGTAATATCAATTTCCGAGTTTCGTTTGGTTCTCGGTGTGGAATCATCATTATGTCCTTTCGTGGAAGACCATCTAAAGCTTGTCAAAGATGTAGAGCTCGGAGACTCAAGGTATTACAAAACGCGATCTTTCTAATTACATCACGATTGACATTCGTTGCAGTGTGACCTTGCGCCTGTGACTTGTGGCTCATGCATGAGAGCCAGGGTGATTTGCACTGGATATCGGGATACCGAAAAGCTGCGCATCAGAGATGAAACCGACAGCTTACATCGGAAAGCGACGGCTGTGCGCCATCGCATCAATGACACCAATGGTGGTGGAAATTCGCTACTGATGAAGTTAGGAGCTTCCAATACCGAACCACGTTATCTTCCGTTGGCACTCGACGTTCAGGCGAAAGAGTTGTTCTTCGACCATTATATTCTTGCAGGTCAAATCAACGGATCAGGGGCTTGGGATTTCTTGAAGCCATATCATCAATCAGAGAAAGCACCTGTATATTTACAGTTAACAATAGATGCCGCCAGTTTAGCATATCTTTCACACCAGTTCGGCTCGCAAAAAGCGCGTTTAATTGCTTTGGAAAGGTATACAGGCGCTCTTGGCGTCATGAGTAAAGTTCTAAAATCACCTGAAACATCAAGGGAAATGACGACACTATTCACAACTCTACTTTTGGATTTGTTCGAAAAGCTCTCAACTACTCAACCTTTTGGAAATCGAGGGTGGAGTAGCCACCTACGAGGAGCTCTCGCTATATCCGAAAGGTGTGGAGACCAATTTACTACATCAAGTACTGCAATGCGTGCTTTCACACGGTTGAGCACAAATTTGCTCATTACCTCTCTCGCAGCGGGTACTGCTCTGCCAACTGGTTTCTTTCGCCTTCGAGAATACTTGGAGAAAAGTCCTTCCATTGATGTTCCTAGGAATCCCAAATGGCAATTGTCGAAAATAATGGCGCAATATGTCAATTTGCAAAACAATATTCAAAATGGAAAACGCGCTAGGGAAAGCTCTCTTCAAGAAGCAAGAGAATTAGATTCCATCCTCAAAAATTTCTCTGACCGCGATGTAAGAATCAAACAAATATTCAGGACTCTACCCTCTAGGATGGTCTATGGAAACGTCTACTATTCATACCCCGATAGACATTCAACCCAGACGTGGAATGTTGTGAGACTGGCTCACGTTTTAGTGGTGAACTTTCTCGTATCGAACGCCACCACTGAGATGGAGCGTTCGCAGTATCTTATCAAAGTAAATGAGATTGCGTCTAACATTTGTGCTTCTGTTCCACAATATCTCGACTGTGTGGGTGCTGTGAAGTCGCTAGGACAAATAGAATTACTGCACCCAGTTGTTACATCGCATAATTCTTGCACGTCCCATACACCTTCGCACAGATTGGCCTGCTATACACTTATATTCCCACTTTACATAGCTGGATTTGTCAGAGATTCTGACTCCAGTATATGGAAATGGGCTACCGAAAAATTGCATTATATCGGCAGTCATTTTGGCATTCGAAATGCCGAACTTGTTGCTCAAATTCTCGAGAAAAGAAGCGAGAACGATCCTTGGAAAGTGTATACCTTGCTTGGTAGCTATGCATTCGGTGCTTGAAAGAAAGTTGAAATGACTTGTCTTCTGGATTCCTTGATCAAAGCCCCTCTTTTATTAAAAAGCGGTAGCTCGGCACTCAATTGGCTCTTTGAAGCGATTCTTACCCCATTCATAATGGTCATCCTACCCCAGACGGAAATATTTCTTCAATAAGACATAAATCCGATGCATTTATCCGCTGAAGATTTTATCCTTGCGATCAATCCCAGCTTTCACGTTACTGCAATACTGCCTTCAATCGTAGCCATACGTATCTCGCAGAGGCGAGGGTTTACGGATTCCAAAGCATATCACCATCCCTGAGAGCCACGCTCTGGATCCATATCTGAAGAAACTTGAGATAAAATTTCGTTCTTTCCCTTTTATGAGGCGCAGAAACGGAAAACCAGGATCCATTTGTTCGCCTCTTGATACGTTCATTTGATCATCTACTGTATTCTCACTCCACTTGATCAATAAACTTGGAATATTCGAACACCTCGGCATTTTTCACAGATTCGATGAGAAGTCTAATGAAATCTCTACCACCATCAAGAAGTTCTGGAAAACGGTTAAATATGACAAAATTACATTGACAGACGTTTTAGTCCCGGTTCCAAGCTATTGCCATGGTTACATTTCATTTAAAGTAGTCAATGCCGCCACTTAACATTATACCTCGGAGTTCAACTTGATGGAAGAGTTGCGATTGGTGACTTTCCCAACGTTACCTCGATAATCTCGACTTGGAGAATGTCCCGAGTGGTTGCAAATATCTGCAAATGATGCGAATGTAATGTCAAAGATCGCGAAATGGTGCTAACTAACGTGCCGTGAATGCCACTGTCGACATGGTAAAAGAAGTATAAAGTCACAATGTTTGATTCCAAAATAATGAGATTATCGACAGCTTCATCTTCTCGACTCCTTCTTCTAAGACGATCCAAAGTTTTGAAGCAAAGTTTTTCACCATGATTACAACTGGCTTTCTTCTGGCTCTAGCCGGCTTTGTTGGGGCTCTCAACCCAATCGCAATTGTTCCTCAAGGCGTCGTCAATGGCATTCTTTCCCCCATTCCAGGAGTCACTTTGCCTGTTGCCAAGTTTCTCGGTATACCTTTTGCAAGACCACCTCAACGCTTTGGCCCACCTGTTGGACCAGGCTCATTCGCAGGCAATTCATACAACGCAACACAGCTTCAGCCAGCATGTATCCAGCAATTCAACTGTACGTGAAATTATATTATCTTCAACGGAATTTTCCTGATCACCTGCAGATCCAGATGCCACTCGCGCCTTCACCCTAACTCTCTTCAATAACCCACCACCTGCGGCAGAAAGTGAAGATTGCCTATATCTCAATGTATATGCTCCATCTGCAGCTACTCCCGCTTCATTACTTCCGGTGATGGTATGGATTTATGGTGGTGCTTTGCAGTTTGGCTCAGCGTCATCTCCATACTATGATGGTAGTAACATAGCTGGAAAGCAAAATGTGATTGTTGTAACTTTCAACTACCGAACTAATGGTAAATCTGCTTAGGTGTTCTTCAAAATTGACATCATGATCTAGCAATGGCTAATCAGAAACAGTTTTTGGCTTTCCAAACTCTCCGGAATTGCCCAACATAGGACAGAACCTAGGACTTCTTGATCAACGACTAGCACTAGCTTGGATCAGAGCTAATATCTTAGCATTTGGTGGTGATCCTCTTAAAGTAACGATATTTGGCGAATCCGCCGGTGCACTCTCTGTGGATGCTCTAGTCACCAGTTATCCAATTTTTCCACCATTTCGCGCAGCAATCATGCAATCTGGGCAAGACAGTATTCGGACCCTAACGGCTACACCTGGACTTGGCACTGTTTCTGGTACCTCATCTTGGAATGCCCTCGCTGCTGGTCTTGGTTGTTCCAAAACCGGTAGCGTGCTTGCTTGCCTACGAGCTGCCGATGCACTCGCCATTAAATCTTACATTGAGCACGCGGGACTATCGTTCCAGCCAATTGTAGATAACTTAACTCGTGTTTCAAACCCGCAACTCAGGAGAGCGAATCGCCAAATTGCAAATGTACCGGTACTTATCGGCTCAAATGCTCAGGAGGGTTCTGCTTTCGTTTATGGACAAAGCAATATTACAGCAGCTTTGCAAACACTATTTCCGGGCAACGCCACACTACAGGCTGAAGTTTTTGCTACGTATCCTGTCGGCCAAGATGGATTGAACACACCAGCCGCTGTCGTCGAACAAATTTATACCGATATAATATTCCAATGTGTACGTTTAGCCCAATTCCCTCCTTCCTTTCCAAATACCTCTGACTAAACCCCACCCCACAGCCTGGTGCTACTGTCGCAAATTCAAGCTCCGCTGCCGGTTACCCTACCTTCCGTTATTACTACAATGCAACCTTTGCAAACATCCAACCAGTCCCAGGTCTCGGCGCTTATCACTCCTCGGAAATTCCTCTCGTCTTCGGTAACTTACCCGCAAACTCTACCGCAGCCGAAATAAGCCTAAGTGCCTTGATCCAAAAGTCATGGGCCGATTTCGCCAAAAACCCTCAAGCGGGTCCAGGATGGAATAAATTGAATGTCAATGCAGGTGTTAATCAGGTTGCTGTATTCAATGTTAATGGGCTGGGAAGCGTGAATGGAGGAGCACTGGACAAGCGGTGTGCTGTTTTCAAATATGATTTGGGAGGGTTCTAGGGAGATAGATGCATTACATAATTCTATCAATTTTCTGGACCTGGGATTTATTGCTATCATGTATTGTCGTGTGTTCTCACGATGTGCACTACACTATACCAGTGGCTTGGTTCGCAATTAGCTCCGAGAAGATTGCGTACACCTTGCACATACATGCATATATATATACAGCACAGGTGAGACAGAAAGTATTGGTACACCGTAAGCCAAGTATCCTAAATAGGAGATTATTAACCTCTAGTTTCTTCTCCAGCAGTGGGGTTGTGGTGGGCATAATAGCTTATCTACTGGTCCAGTAATATTGGGTCTGAATTTGACATACAGAACAACATCAATTGTTTGCGTCTAGACTTTGGGGTGAGATTGGTGACACATCAGATTGCTGACTCAAAATTACATACGTTGCGTCGAATTACATACCTACCTAGGTACATCCATACAAATGCAGCTTCCATTGCGCACAACCTCGTTAAAATGTCTCTCGCGTGTACACTTGTTTCGCAGGTACGTAAACAGCCGTTAGAAGAACACGAGAGGAAGTCGAACGACTGGGGAATTCCGGACCCTGACTTAGGTACATTTCGTATCGCATTATGATGTCTCAGTACTTTTCGTCTCACAATCGGTAAGTGGGATAATAATTTTCCGATGCTGATGCTGATGCTGATGAGATATTCATGTACATCGTGACACGTGTAGTCTTAAGGTTTTTTCTCACCATAATCAATGCAAGCTTATCCCCGCAACTTTATTCGATTTTATTCATGTACTTAGAATGTACTCTTACTGTCCCCATAGAATATCAGCCTTTCTGACTTCGTGTAAGACTACCTTGCACTATCTACCTACCTATCAACCGAACAATTACGCAAAGAAACTCAGACTGGCAGTGTGCACAAGGTATTGCAAGAGCCGTATATTGGCTTTACACAGCCATCTTATCTCAGCAGCTTACCGTAGATTTATTGACATCAATATCGTTCCGAATATTGTTCCGAATATAACGGAAGATGAATCACGAGCTGGTGGTGAAGTGAGTCAAGATGAAACATGGAATCGCGGGATATATTGCATGAACATCAGCTCAGGCACAAGGCATACACTCTTGATATTTAAGACTTGGAGACTCCGATCTTATTTCCTGTGCGACGTGCGATGTTTATCTGGAGAATTTTTAGATGAAGGGCGCTTGGTAGTGAGATATTTTATGCCTTGACCGATATCTTATTTGGCAGCTGAATGGCAACTATGAACCAGCGAGAGCTAAAGAAAGAGTCAGACGAACTGTATTGACAGACAAATTGGGATGTGGATTGACAAGTTCGTTCCCGTCGGTAAGAGTAGCGAAAGCCCGAAAGCCTCAGCGGGAGGAAGAAGGCTTGCAGAAGAGCCAAGCTGGAACCAAGGGCGTGGATCTTAGGCTTGCAGATTTCACGATTAACACGATCGAGCGAATGATTAGTGGTGGTGAATGTTTCTATTTGGGTGGACTCGATGGCTGTTTGTTCCTGGAACTGAATACCTTACATGTCGATATGTTATTTGAGATGCCTCGATACATCGTCTTGTTGTACTTGCTATGTTGATTCAAAGTTAATTTCTGCTCCTCTAGAATTTTTTGATTGAAAAATCCATGATTATCAGTACGTAGAGGAGCTCTGGTCATATTGTCCTTGTAAAATGTCGCTGCTCTCTGCAATTTCATTGTCCGTAGCCTCTCAATGCAACGTGCTGTTCTTGAACCTGTGTTTAATAAATAAAAGACAGTATTATGTCATAGGAACGATTCACCCTTTCAAGGTGTTAGCACCGCTCTTACTAAAAAATTACATTTGCTCAAAGATAGAAAGAATTCAACAAAAGAATTATCGATCAATAATGGAGTCGGGGATTTTCCTATAATTAAGTTTCCAGCTCATTGTAAAAATAAAGAAGAGATTTAACATCCAAAAGAGACCTTTGAGCGTTAGAAACCCGATGGATGCATGCTCATAGTTGACATTACCCAGACGAGTGATAAAAGCTAACTCCTGTTCTCTTAAGCCAAATCTTTTTTTAAAAAGGAAATACGTAATTTAGAATCAGAGCCGCGATGAAATGCGTGGATATCGAGCATTAATCTATCAAACTTTCTTGTATAGAGAACATTGGGGAGACTAGACATGCACTGCCAGCGGATAATTTGTTCGGGGGTTTCGCCACAATCTGGGGGTAAATGCTGTGCATAATGCATGCAGATTTTCTCAAGCATACACGGGTAAAAAAGCCGAATGCTACATTGAAGACGGCGAACACGAGAATATTTCAATATACTTGATTCAATTGCACAGATATATAAAAATAACTCCAGGTAGAAAGACGGAGAAAATGTAACATCGCCCAGCTCGTATTGTGGTGTGACTTAACACAGTTCCATCTTTGAATAGGAAATAGGTCTCGTATCAAATCGCGTCGCACCCCAATTACTTCAGATTTAAACCCCCAGAAGAAAAGTTCAGAAGATGGCACACAAAGGAATGTAGAATAAAAATGTAAAAAATTCATTTAAGATGATCAAACAATTGAGCCACCCTTCGAAGTGCAGGTTGCGATGACTGAAGCCGGCGTCGTCGTCTTTGTGATAGTGATCCTAGAGAAAGTGAGATGTTAGCAAGATTAGATAAAAGTATGAGATTGCTCAAATGGATTGGATTTCACGCAATGAAACATACGCATACTTGTACGTGATTGTCGATGTAACTGTGGTAACGGTGAAAGTCTGGGTAGTCTTTGTTGTTGTAGGCGTTGGTGCCGTTACAGTTGCAGTAGTTACTCCGCTGCGAATAGTAACTGGTGCAGGGGTACTATGGTTTTGTTAGATATTAGATAACTTGGAAGGGAAATTTATTCTTACATAGTGGTGAATTTAGTTGTAGTAGCTAAACGAGTGAGGTGTATTAGTAAATACTAGCATCCATCAAACAAAATTCGGATAGTAAAATCTCACCTGTGCTAAAGAAAGTTGTAGTAGCAGCAGTGCTGGTAACAGTGGATGTGATCCAATCAGATGTGGTTGTGTCGGTGACTGTCACAGTTGGAACATCTGGAGCACGCTTTTTAAGCTTCTTTGCCATGACGCGACCAACAGCGCGACGTCCAAAAACATTAGCAATGTCAACAATAGCATCTCGACTTTCAGGATTGGCCCTTGGAGCCGGAGTAATGACTGCAGCTGCGGGTGCTGGCATGGCGGTACGTTTAACGGAAGAGTCGGATGTGACACTTTGAGCCAAGAGAAGGAAATGTTGATTGGGGTATACATCCTGGATGGGAGGCTTGGTGGGAAGTCTGCATGAGGCTGTTTTTGTAACTGTAACGATGGGGAAGGTGTATTTTCTTGAAGTGATAGTACGTGTGGAGGTGGTAGTCTTCGTAGTTGTAACCCTCTTGGGTGTAATTGTAACTGTACTTTTGGCAGTGGCTGAAGCTGCGGTAATTGTAACAGCAGGAAGTGTAGTTGAATCGGTGTCAGTAATGGTAGTTGGTAGAGTTGTTGATGGTATCACAACATTCGTAATGTTCACTAACGAACGTCAAATTCCCAGAACTTTCGTCAAATCACTTTGAACAACTTACCGGTTGGGATATATGTTACTGTGGCCTGAGTTCCAACGGTGAGTTCAAATGTTCTCTGAGCGGCGAAAGAAGCTCCAGCTCCATTGTTTGCCAAAATAACAATGGTCCAAGTGCCGCTGTACATCTGATTTTTGGAGATGGGACTGACAAATATTAGTCAAAGTGTCAACCTGAAGTCCTTGAAAAGGATAAATACCATGTTGAAAGCATGTTGGTACCGTCAGGTTGAGTTTCAATGTCACTGCACTCCCATGAATCATCATTAGGAGCAACGAGAATCACTTCAGCCTCGCCTGAGCATCCGGTAAATTGAGTGACGGCGGTGAAGCTGGAATTATCTGCGCTATTGATGAAGTAGTTTCCTCCATTCTGGAAATCGATACCATATGATGCACAGTCTGCGTTGACATAAGTAAAGATGGATGTTAACACAACGAACGTGTAAGAGAGTTGAACGATTGAAGAAAACATGATGAAAAGCCAAATGATAATGAATGATGAATGTGATTAATGTGAGTTACAATTGGGTTTGTGGGGTCATATAGCAACTTTGATATCTGCAAATACTTTATGAGCTGGATCAATTGGATCTGAGCTGTTCCGCTGCTCGCCGAGCCCATCCAAAAAAAGAAACATACCGCAGCTACAGAATCGTAGACACGCGCAATACTACACAGGATTCTTCAAAACTACCCAGAATATTGACAGATTCCATCTGACAGAATGAATAATATCCATAAAACAATAGAAACGGAACGTCTCCAGCTTCTGCGTTACACTAGAGACCGAGATACAAGCCTTGCTGTGCCGCACAACCAACTCAACAAGTCGATTTCGAAGAATGATCCTTATTGGTTTCATTGCTTGAATACTTCTTGTCAGATGCAATGAAGTGGAGTGATAAATGTGGAGAGAGCCTGGAGAGTGCAGTGAGAGGAAGGATCAATACGAAGGATGATGTGTGTGCTGACAGTGACTTGAGCGATACTTCAAAGCTACTGTACAGTAATGTGAGATGACTAGGTATCTCCAACTATCTCTGACTACCTCTGATCCGAATGCAGATACAACGCCACAATCTTCATCTCTGCAGCTGTCCTATTCTCGGTATCGGTACTGGGGTATGTATACCGTGTATCTTGGTCATTTTGATATGAACAAGGCTTTAAATGGCAGTCTCAACTCCGATACGACCGTGTCATAATTCAGCAGTCCTTGCGATCTTCAGCGTGCTACAAAACTAAGTGCCGCCCAGTGAAGATTTTGTTTGATACTAAGCCGCAAAGCTTTGTTTCTTTTCGAGTATCGCGGATGCAATGGCACAAACAAGATCGGGGAAAGAAAAATCCAAGGTTCGGGCAAACCCTGTTAAAAAAGAAGCCCTGGTGCAGGGTAAACACGTGCGCCAGAAGCCTGAAGACTAAGCCAATAAATAAACGAGCCGCTGCTGTGGCTCACTAATTTTAAGCCAAGGATAGGCTGCAGATTATCAAAAACAGTTGCATAATATTGTTTTGTCAATTTTTGTTACCAAATCAAGGATTTATTCGATTCTTTTGACTCTTTATGGTGATTCAGGTGATTGGATGTCGTTTCGTATATTTAGTTTCCGTCGGATGCTTCCGGAGGATGAATTGAATGTGATTTGGCGTCAAGAAGTTCGTGAATAACGGACGACTTGGGCCAAATTGAAACTCAGTTACAGGTGCCCAGACGCTAAATATACACTAATTTACCTGTTAGCTAGACTACGAAGTAATTATTCAATCTTTCCAAGGGGTTTCTGCAAGTCTGAGTAAGCAAAACTGGTGGTTTTACGGAATTTGCACTCGCAACATCTTCCATAAACCATCGATCTTATGTTCTACGGCACAAAAGAAATCTTAGGCCCATCAACCCGCCAAAGATCAACACGGTCAAAGCCAAGCGAGCTAGTCATCTATCCCATGAAGAAGGATCACACCTGAACATTTCAGCCTCGCATACATGAAGAAATTCGGCCTCGGCATAAGATCGTGACATTGATAATCTTCCTGTGGATATCTTCGGGAACGGAAAGCATACGTATGCCAATAATCGTGTGAGATGCAACTGTTGCTATTGTTATCATCTTTTCCCGTAGAATCTCGGATGTGGAAGATCTTGGCGTGCCACCAAAGCAACTACAGTATTGTCCGAGGGCTGACAGCTTATGTACCATGCTGCCGTGCCTGGATTTTTCTACCAATATCACGAGCCATGCACTAAGTCTTATCATTCTAGTTCTTGAGGATTGGCATCATGTAAAGTGGTGTACACTTTTGAAGTGATCCTGATCCGGAATTTTGATTTCAATCAACAAATCAGATGATTGGACATGAAATGTTTTCAGCTGAAGTCACAGTGATTTTTGGTCATTGGATGTTCCATCTCGAGATGCATGTAAGCCACGACTTTTTTGAGTTGCAGTGCCATCTGATAGCGCGTGTGGTAACACTGTAATGGCTGCTTCTCCTGCTTGTCAGTCGAGCCTCACCTCGTGTGCATCGACATGGGAATCCAGAAAAAGCGTCTCAATGCCAGTCAAAACTGTCTAAGTGTTGATCTGACAAGATAAATACATAAAGTCTCACTTGAATGCGAAGATGTTACTCTCTTCAGATCAATTCACTCAAGTTTCTTTCTCTAACTTGCTCAAAATGAAGTTGTTGAATATTCTACTTTTGTCTTCCGCTGCCATTGGAGCAATACTCCCAGCTCAAATCAATGAACGTGATGGTCTGGTGAAACGACAAACTGTCTCCAGCAGCAAGACAAGCACTTCATCAAAAGCCTCTGGCACTTCATCGAAAGCTTCTAGCACTTCATCAAAAACATCATCTGGTACCTCCAAGTCCTCAAGTTCGTCAACCTTGAAGTCGTCATCAGTTGGCTCATCGTCTTCAAAGGCTTCAACAACTACTTCAGGCACGTCAACTTCTGTCGGTACCACGACAACTTTAAGCTCAAGTTCCACCTCTGCTCTCTCTAGTTTGGTCGCTGATCCTGCTTGTACAAACTCGCCATTCACCAGAGCCTGTTGGGGCAATGGCTTCAGTATTGCAACTGATTTTGATACCAAGAATCCCAACACTGGTGTCACCAGAAAATATAACTGGGAAGTGACCAACACGACTTGTGCTCCTGATGGAGTTACCCGCCAAAATTGCATGTTGATCAATGGCCAATATCCTGGACCAACCCTATATGCTGACGTAAGACTTTTATTATTGCTCTCATGATATGTGCAAATTGCTAACATATTTTAGTGGGGTGATATGATTCAAGTTACCTTGAAGAATTCCATGCCAGATAACGGGACTGGTATTCATTGGCACGGGCTTCGACAATACCACACCTGTACTGAGGATGGTGTACCAGGAATCACAGAATGTCCCCTTGCTCCTGGTGATACCAAGACATACACTTTCCAGGCGACCCAGTTCGGCACGAGCTGGTATCACAGTCACTACTCCTCTCAATATGGCGAAGGAATGCTCGGTGGAATCGTAATCAATGGACCCGCAACTTCTAACTACGATGTTGATCTTGGAGTATACACCATCACAGATTGGTATTATACCCCAGTGTTTGCACTCGGTGAAAGAATAGCTCATTCTCAAGCCGGACCGCCACCGGGTGATAATGGACTTATTAACGGTAGTATGGTAGCTCCTGCTGGCCAAAGTGGTGGAAAATATACCACGAACACCATAACCGCAGGCAAAAAGTACCGTCTCCGTCTCATCAACACTTCAGTCGACAATCATTTCATGGTTTCATTAGATAACCATGCTTTTACCGTGATCACAAGTGATTTTGTACCCATTGTCCCATACACCACAAACTGGATTTTCATCGGTATTGGCCAAAGATATGATGTTATCATCACTGCCAATCAAACTGTTGGAAGCTATTGGTTCCGAGCTGAAGTTCAGAATGGATGCGGCACCAACAACAATAATGGAAATATCAAGAGTATCTTCACCTATTCAGGAGCAGCAAGTACCACTCCATCATCTTCAGCTACTCCATATACTGGTAGATGTACTGATGAAACTGGAATCATTCCTTTCTGGGATAGCTTTGTGCCCAGTGGTCCGCTTAGTGGAAATGTTGATCAACTCGACGTCGCCGTCAATATTGGTGTTGATGCCAGCGGGCCAATCGTAACATGGGGAATCAACCTCAGTGCCATTGATGTCGACTGGAAGAAACCCATCCTGCAATACGTCCTCGATGGCAACAATTCCTGGCCTGCTTCAGAGAATCTAATTGAATTGCCCAATGCCGCTCAATGGTATTATTGGATCATTCAAGAAGTACCTGGAAACGTCAACGGAAACCCAGTTTCTATTAACGTCCCACATCCAATGCATTTACACGGTCATGATTTCTTCCTTTTGGGTACGGGAATTGGAACTTACAACAACACTCTCGATAGCCCAAATCTTGATTATGACAATCCAACTAGAAGAGATGTTGCCATGTTGCCTGCTGGAGGATGGATGGTTCTAGCATTCCAAACTGATAACCCTGGTGCTTGGTTGATGCATTGCCATATTGTAAGTACCTCCTTTCCATAGACTACTTCTCAAAATCCTCATACTAACGCACAAATCAGGCATGGCACGTAAGCGAAGGTCTCGCGGTACAGTTCCTGGAAACCAAAAACCAGATCAACGCTGTAAATCCGATCTCGCCAGCATTGACAAATACCTGCAATAAGTGGAATGCATGGTATCCATCCCAAGCTCCTTATATCAAGACCGACTCTGGTCTTTAAAACTGGGTTGATGCGGGGGTTTTGGGCGCGATTTCGTTATTTTTGATTCATGTTTGATTCTTTGAGGATGGCTGGACCCTTACCGGGGCTCGGTCTTCTTGTGTTTGCTTGTAGTAGTATATAAGTAACAATTTAGAGAAAGGGTGTTGTATTTCATTTCTTCAGAAAGGCAACAAACCTTGTTTTGGGCAGGTGTTTTGTATTTTTTATGGTAGGTTTGCAATTCCGAATTGAAATTTCTCCGCATCCTTTTTTGTGATTTGGATATGATTTATTTATCATCGATAGATCATTTCTGTGACTAATTTGATTTGAGTAATAAATGATGCAACATCATCGAATATTGCACCTTACAAAATTTCACTGATAGCACAGAAGTATTTGTCCGATCATGTATTCAGCAAGCCCATGTGTCATCAATTACATCCCAAGAAAGATTCTTGAAGGTGATAAAGTATACATCCAGCGGCAACTTACATCATTGCGCCGAACCATGCTAGAGCCAACAAGAGATACCTGGGTATGCTACAAACCCTCCGAAGAACAATACGCGAGCAATGAAGGGCCATTGAACTATTTACCAGTAGATGAAATATAAATAAAACCAATAAAGCTTATCATCTGAAACTAACTAAGTTCATCTGCACAGACTTGAAACAAAACTCACCATGACGTCTCCCCATTTCCAACCCAATAAGCGCCGAGACTCAAAATCCCCGGGTATAGAAAAGCCCAAATAGAACTCTCTAAAGTCTAGAGCTATTTTCAAGAACATAAAGCAACACAATACTTATGCAACAATGCCACATATCAGGAGACCACTAAAGCGCTTATCGCAGCGCTTCATGTGCATGGTCAATGCTGTGTTGGGGCTAAAGACTAAAGTACACTGTTACGCGGTCGAGAAGCAAGCTGGAGGGATTTTTAGCGCCGAGGCTCTGCACTCGCTGCGCCGATGAGATATTGAGAGTTACTTTTGCAAAGGATATGAGCGATTGATAGATCGCATCTGATGTTATCGTCGATTGCTATATTATACAAATCTCGAAGTTTTTTTGGGCATTTCGTTCACAAAAGCGCAGACACCTTAATGTTAATATGCATCCATCAAAAGTTACACACTTATATACAAAATAGTAAGAGAATAGACTGGCAGCACTGTGAAAGCAGGGAAAGGATTGGGTCCAGAACCAGTGCAACGTGTGTGTATACATCGGGCCAAACAATGCTCGGCGAATCCGTCACGGCATCTTGGAATGTACTGGCCAGTGTGAACCCAACTACAAACGTCCAGTCGAAACTTATAAATGTTTGCAATACTACCTGAGGAATGCAATGACGAACAGCAAATAATAATTCAATTTTCTCTGGTCATTACATCGCGTTCTAATCCTGTACATAATTTCTTTTCTTCTTCTACGCAGCTATAGATTCAACGAAAATGTCACGAACACACAAGTCTAGTACCGCTCTTGCGGAAAAATTTTCTATAGAAGACTATGATTCAATTCTACTTCCAATTTACACTTATTTTGCAGAATACGAAGATCATCGGAAGCGACTTCGCATGAGACAGATTTATTGGATCCCAACCGGTCATGATGAATTGCAAGGCAATGGAGTAGTTTTTCTAAGCGAAACGTACAAAATATTGGCGGATGGAAAGACGTTTCCCAAACCAAAGGAAGGGTTAAGGTCAATGTTTCATATCAAACCAAGAAACCGAGATAGGCTTTTCGAATTAATAGATATGTTGTATAAGGGCAGATCTATCTGGAACAAAATGAGCGGAAGCCATCAGGTAGGTACTTTGCGTTTTGGTGAGACGATGAGAGAGTGACGTAACTAATATGGTTTAGGTCAGGAAAAATCATTTGGCCTTTCTTGACCTTTTGAAGAAAGACAAAGTCATTGAGGATAGTTATGAAACCTCAAAAGCATACTTTCAGAAAGATTTTGAGAAGGAATGTGAAACGATGCGCGAGAAAATGATCAAGAATAAGACTGCACAGCCAAAAGATCTCAGTCCGAATCAAAAAGAAGCGAAGAAACCAAACCCTGTACCTCATGGTAAACTTTAGCAGAGATGTGATCGCGAGTGAGGAAACTAACATCTCTTTTTGGAGGACATCGTTTGATAAGATGAGCTGGGTAGGAAACTAAGTGCTGAAACACGAGGTTTCTATTGCAGACCGTCCAATTAGTCCCTTATGAAATACAGGAGCGAAGGAGAAAAAAATGGTGTCCTTCCGACCCATTTGGAACCCTCTTGCTTTGGAGATTGACTATTTAAGATAAGTGGCGTTTGAAAGATTTAATTATATTGAGATCCGAAGTCATGTATTTTGGAATGCTCTCTTTGGCGTTTATACTAAAGGTTATTTTGATAAAAAGCAAAGACTCATTAGGGGATATCGGGAAGATAGGATCAGAGAGAGATATCCGAAAGCAATCAAGCATTTTTTCTTCAATCCTCAAGAGCTGTTTATTCATCAAAGGAATTTTGATATTCGATCTTATGATATGAGTATGTAAATACCTTCTAAGACAAAAGATTTTGAGTTGACTGTCTGCACATAACCCAGCGATTAGATTGAATTAATTAAATAGTAATATTAACTGATTTCTGTTTCAAATAACATAGAAAATGATGTACAAGAAAGTATTTTTGAGAACACATCAAAGCAAATTGCAAAAATCAAGAGAAGTCTTTTCTACTAAGAATTTTTAAAAAGTAAGTATTAGAACTCGAATTGACGGTCAATCTCAAGCTCTAGTATCCTCAAGAAGAGTGTATAACGATGAAATATATGATGCCTATCGATAATTACGGGAGCTAGAAGAAAGAATAAAATTCTTTGATTAAGTACTATGAATACAAAACTCCATGCAGTCAATATTTCTACATTACCAGTCCCATTCCGTTTCCAACAAAAGCAAAGCCCCCACAAACACGCCAAATATTTCCAGAGGTAACTCCAATCCACGGCCAAGCACCCAGCCTACAGACCCCCCAAAACCTCCTCAACAACCGCCCCCAGCATTCTCAACCCATAAGACCTTGCCACCCTCCCCCACCCTTCAATTTTCATTTTCACCTCCCCTCTATCTACACTTTCCCCCCACTCTCCTCCACATCCACAACCCTGTCTCAAATCATTAACCTTCAATCCCTTACACCTAACACATTTCAAATCTTGGCCCACCCATTCTCCCACACATGCCATCACCTCCCCAATAATCCTCTCTTCAATGCCTAGATGTTCAAACTCTCCATTACAGAATAGACATTTCCAGCTCCAACTTCCTTCACTATTAGGAAGTAAATCTTCATCACGACAAAAATCCATATCTCTTGACGTGGTACAAGAATCGCAGACCACATTGAAGAGTTTAGCAGAAGTGGAAGGATTCTGAAATTTGGCCGCGTTAGAAAATTCGCGGATTTCAAACATTTCCAAGAGTTCTTTTCGTAGGAGACGAGCTTCGAGTGTGATGTTTTTGTCGAGAGAAAGAACTTGCATAAGACTCTTTACGAGCTCTAGTGCTGGGTTTGTGGGTTTGAGATGTGAACCAGGCAGAACGGGAAATTTGTAATCTTCAGCGAGTTCGGGATGGAGCATTTCGTCTTTTTGTCTGCGAATGATACCTGCTATTTGTTTCTTGAGTGGTTTCTCGAAACTTTTTCCAAGAATGATTTTATCTTCCTTGTCATCTCCTAGGTTTCGGACTGGAATTTGAGTGGCGCGAGGGGTAGAATCAATACCGAGACGTGGTTTCTTGAGACTATGCATTATATCAATGAACTCTAAAACCCAGTCATTGAAGATCTGTTGGAGCTTGTCGGGGAGGAAATTGCTCAGTTGCCAATGCATGATGTTATCCAGGGATTGGTTTTCGGCTTCGACGACTTCCGAGCAGCCTTTACCGCCGTAGTTGAATTCATCGTACCAAACTAGATAATCCCAATACTCTTTGATTTCAAGGTCTAAGAAATGGAAAAGTGGCTTTGCCTTGATCGATTTGAGGATATATTGACTGTATGCATATGCATTTCCGACTTCGGCTTTGGTGGTCTGTAGTAGAAGTCGATTTGAATTCGCGAATACGACATGAGATCCGACACGCCTGAAATCGGTCATCAGTTGTTGGAAAGCCTTTCGAGACATCATTTGTACGTAGTAATGCAGTGAACGATCGTAGAGAAACGAGTCCGGATTCTCAACCCAGCGAACAAGATGCTGCACCATGATATCAGCCATGCTACTACCTCTACAAGCTTCAGTCCACCAAGCTTTAACCATTTCTCTAAGAACCGTAACACCGGCTGTAGCAAAAGCATTCTCGGCATAGAGAACATTAGTGCCATCGCTAGGAGCATCGTCTGATGGCGCGGCAGGGTTGAAAGATATCGAGTCGCTTCCTTCAAGCTCATTGATCAGAGATGATGTCAAGATGGTATTGATGGCCAAATTTCTGACATCAAGCTCAATGCAAACTGATGGATAAGTACCAGGGTTATTGACTGACGGCATTTGCACAGTATCAAGACCACCAAGAACATCATCGAGTTCGTATCCGGCATGGTCCGGCTTTGGGCCACCAGACCACCAAAGAACAACATTACTCCTTTGTAGTCTTCTCGCATAAGCCACGTCAATCAAGAAACGAGGATCGTCTCTTTCCAGGTTGCAGAGTGGAACATCTCCATATCTCGCGAGCTCAGTCAGATGAATGACCCACTCCCCGAGATTTAAGTAATGACTGACCAAGCGCTTTGCTATGACAGATTGCCAGTTTAGTGGAGGGAGTTTACTATCCTGAACATCGGATTTCAGGGGAAGTATTGGCAAGTCTCCTAAGATAGGCACATCATGTACCAGTAATCTCCTCTGTGGAGATTGGACAACGAGCATGAGTGGCTTGGACTCATCATTCTTCATTTTCTTGACAAGGTCACCAACTTCAAGCAATGCTTTTCTTCTTGTTGTGACTTGGCTAATCTTGAACTGAATCTTTTCTTGATATTCGAAGCAATTTTGCCAAACGTCTCCCTTTGCATCTTGATGACGTTTGGCAATAGCATCCGCGTAAGTTTTCGCGATGTTAGGAAGATCTTGTTCGGCAACCTTGGTCTTCTGGAGAATGACAACATGTGCCTGCTCTTTTGAAGTCGAGAAGAGTGCAAAGACTTGTCTATCACCAGCAATAACATGGTAAAGGAAGAGGTATTCCATCGACGAATTTGAAAGATATGGATTTTTCGGCGACGCGCGACGGAGTCCAGATAAATCGAATCCTTGCTCAAGACCTCTTCCTAAGACACCAGGCTGCGTCTCATCAAATGTACACAAACTTCCCAATTGAAGAACAGCACGAACGTTTAGTGGAACTTGCTTCTCATAAACACCTTCCACACTCGGATGATTGAAAAGTAAAGATATCTTTTGCGCTTCGTTTACATAGACATCTTCGGACATTGTGAGTTTGAACAAATGTACTGATGGATGTCCGTTCGGTAGTGTATGAGTGACCTTCTCAGCTTCGCAGCCGTCAATTTCAATATCTGGTAGTTCCTTGCCTTTCAAATTAAGAAACACTGTTCTCGGAACCTTGACTCTCAATGTATGTACCTTCGAGTCGATAAGAACGAACGCAAGAACAATACCTGGACTTTCAGTACCTCTCAATTGTAACACCTGCCACGTACTCTTGAATAGCTGTTCGGCTTGATTTTGGAAAGTAGTCGCAATATTGCTTTGGGCGCCACGATTCTCACCGAAAAGATGTCGACGTCGTATTCTTGCCTGTTTCTGAATCTTCCATTTTTGTTTTTGATACTCCAAGAATCCTTCGTAGTCTTCGCTTGGTGATGGCATCTTATCAGGAAGTGCTGCAAATGGGTTTATGGAGACTGCTACCGCAGGTTCCGGAGACTTCCGTTTCATAGGCTTCTGCGACGCTGCATTTAGCTGAGAGCCCAGAGTCTTAGGTTTCAGAAGCTGCGTTCCGAAGTCTTCCATATCGGCCATTCTTGGATCCTGCAGATTTGATATGTCTTCAAGGGGAGTTTTGGTAAACATATCGGTCATCTTCTTTTGCTTCATTTTGTCGTCTTTGATTCGAATTCTTCTCTGTAGCCAATCTGGATGTGCTACTCTGGGCACTGGATTTGAACATTTTTGAAGAGCTGCAGGAATGGTAATGAGTTTCTGAATGACAGACCCAAGACGTTCAGAGTAATAATCCCAATCTAAGAGTGCTCTTGGATCCATGTCTGTGGGATCCTCTTTCAACCATTTCCGCAGAAAGTGTCGCTTCACTGAGATATCCGATGAGAAGATAGCAACCGGAACGGCTCGTTCAGTCACCGGTGCATGCTTTGGTTTGGCGCAAATAATATACTTGCAATTCAAACCTTTATCTTTCACCATTTGTTCACCCAGGAACTCCGCTAAGCGCTTTGCAGTAGTGATCGAAGTTGATTTTTGCGTGCCATATTCCTCCAAACTCTTTGACATACTTCTGTTCTCGCAAATGAGGTCGATAAGTTCTGCGTCGGCAAGAGTTCTTCCTTTCGAATCTAAAACATCAAGCCATTGATTCGCGACTTTTGCCACTGCTTGATAAGTCTCCTCGAGAGTTGTACCTTCCAGAAAGAATTTAAAGATTTGTTGTTGGAAAATCTTAATGAGCTTCAGTTCTCCTCTTCGCTTCACCTCGAATCCCTTGAGTTCCGCTAAACTCCCGTCATCGTTAAACACAGCGTAACGTTTCTTTAAATTTTTGTCCTCTTCCTTGGAAGTAGGCAGAATCATAGCACGATAAGGACCATCGACTTCGAAGAAGATAGAATTATCGCTATGCGTCTCGTACTTGAAGGTTTTCGGATCAGTAAGAGTTTGGTATTGGTGGTTTGTGAATTTGTCATGGACAAGATGATTCAACATCACACAAGGGTACGAGATAGCCAGCTTCTTTCCGTTCTTCATCTTGAAAGCATAGTTCTCCGGAAATGTCGCCGGAAGCATACACCAAATACCATCAGTATCCAGTTCTAGAGGCCGTCCAATTCGTTCGACTAGTTGTCGAGCCATTTGAATGATGTGAGCTCCAGTCAAACAAGTGACACCAGCCATCTCCATGGAATACCACCGCGAGCCTTTTCTCATGACATAACCATAAAAGGAGTTTAAAATAACCTTGTGAGCCAATTGTAAGGAGTCGAACAACACAATCATCTTCTTCGCATCTTCGACTTCAGCAGCTGGAGCACCTGCTGATTTAAGAGCATCAGTTTTGCCTTTCCAGACTTTCTGCTTGCCCTTGTAATCATATCGACGATCTCTGAAGTCCTTTACAGTATCAATATAAAATGGGTTTTCTCGCTGACAAATGATTGCTTCTCGCTCGATAGTGGTCTGGTCGTGGATTTTGTGGTAAATTTTCTGACTGTATGTTTGCAAGCGCTTCCGAATCAGCGCAGCCTGCTCTTCGTAAGAAAGGTCCTGAAACGATCTCATTGGTTGCTTCGGATATTTTCCTGGAAATCGTTCATTTTCAAGCGAATGCCTGATCATATTATATTCGTCCCTCTTCGCTGGAAGGTACTCGCCTCTCCATGCCCAGGGCATTCTCCTATCGCAAGTTTTACCAGGTCGATTAAAATCGCACGCCGCACAATCTGATTCTTGAATCATAGAGTCGGGTTGAAGACGATTTGTCGTCATAATATTTGGGTACATAGAAGCGACATCCAAATGGTAAATCAGGGGGTTTTCGCTTCGATTCGCGGTTTTCTTGAGACTATTCAGGCGATCTGCAATTTGTTGTTTGACTTCCTCGTAATTTTCGATATCATCCAGTGATTTCTTTTCTTCAACCGTGATACTGAATTTCAACGCAGAATCCAAGTCCTCGAGAAGTTCATCGATAGCAGTTGTGTCGACAGCAAAATTAACAGGTATATCGGCTCGAAAAACTCCTGCCTCAATACTCTCCACATGTCCACCAACGTAGGTTTCCGACTCCAATAAATGGCCTTCCCAAAACGACTCTTTTGGCGTTACATGTTTATTTGGAAGTACGATCTCTTTTTGGTAAGCCTGTACCATGAGTAACATCTCGCAAAGGGTTCCTGTCCCTTTTCGTAAGACCGCATCTGGCCCTAGAGGAATAATAGTACATAGAGAGAAAATGAAAGGATGTACGTATTTCATGTATAAATAGTATGTTGCTACAGCATCAGAGACGGAATACTCTGCAAGAGTTTGAGGTTTCTCGCTGGCATATCTCAACATCAATTCTGGATCGATCTCGTCTGGATCATAACCTAGCTTTGCTGTTGTCACAGCTTTTAAACCTCTACTTCCTTGAGGCAGGTAACTATCACGATTAACCCAGTGGAAACAGTCCATGTGAGCACTGTAATCGCAAATGTACTGATCCTCGCTTTGACTCCTGCGCCATCCAATCTCTCGGTACATATCAATACCATTAACACTAGCTCGTGCATCAACAAACGGCCAATCGAAAAAGTCTCCGTTATATGTCGCTATAACTGTAGGTCGTGCTTCTTTGATGTGTAGGAAAAAACGCTCGATAACAGCCTTCTCGTCCGGTTCATTAAAAATCATAAATGGTCCATCGTATTCAGGTTTCGGCGTATATTCGAAGTCCTCAATATCCTCGGAAACAATCTCCCGATTAGTGATCAAAAATCCTTGCCCATCTATCATGTACGATATCATCATGATTTGATCGATTGTAGCATCTGGGAATTTCAAGGGTAGTTTGGTCGTTTCGATATCGTATGCCATAACTACTGGATCGGCTCTGGCCAAACGATCTTCCAGGCATTTTAACGTCGTTGTACCGTGTTTTGCCTCTACCGAGTACCATTTTCCCGTTCGTATATCTACAATTTGTCAGTTTATTTGTCCGCACTTTGATTGCATTCCCCCCATTACCTTGATCTATCATTACTCGTACATGGTATGGTACATCCCATTCCCTTATATCTACAATAAAATCGCTACCCTCCGCAATAGAAACATTAAGTCGTTTATCATCATCTCGTGAGTCGTCAAACAGATCGAATCCAGCATTTGCACTAATTAATTAGTCTTCTGCCAAAAAGTCTTCAATGACCAAAAAACTCACCTAGCAACCTCCGCATACGTATCCATTGCATTCATATTCTTTTTGTTCTTCTCTGCCACCGGCATAATGTCTTTCCTAGCCGCCAGCAGATCCGACACATTCCTAAACCTACACTCAAAGAAACTCCTCCTGTAACCCAGTAGATGATTCGGCATTGACAAATCCTCTTTTTCCACTCGTTTTATACTCTTCAAGACACCTCCTCCAGGCGCTCTCTTAAGCCATTCCTCAGCTTCTGGTTCGTATCCTCTTTTGACCGCGACCAGGAAATAGGGTTCATATTCTACTGTCGCTTTGAAAGTTCCTCCATCGTCCTCGATAAAGTAACAGTCTACACCGGCTCGACCTTCTAAATGTTTTTCATCCTCGATAGTCGTAGCCTTTATATTGACCAACCATCCAATCTTCTTCTTGCCAGACTCATGCCGCGGAAATCCCATGGCTTCATCTATCGAATGGCCTAGTTTGACAGCTTCCACCTTTTCCTCCAATGATGTACCTTCATTTCTCCCAGACGATTTTTCAAAAGTTTTGGCTTTTCGGGGTCCATGATATGCTTGCTTCCCTCCACGACGGAATCCATGTTGTGGTTTTCGTGGTGGCATTGTGAGCGAATGTGTGGTGCCAAAATGGCGGGGCGAAAGGGGTGAAGTTGTTTACTCCTGGAAGGAATTGAACAATTCTATTGAAAGAATTATGGCGTTCAAGAAAGACTGTTCTGATGAATCAAACTATCATGAATATTAAACGTAAATTGGTATATGCGATATGGAATTGGAGTGTTTACAAATCGTGAGATTATGATTGAAGATAGTAACTTTTGGCTGCGGAACACAAATTGGGGAACGCGTCGAGTCGCGAAAAATATCCATAGCGCGTGGGAATCGTGTAAAGTATAATTCAGCCTTATCAGCAGGGCTAAGTGAGGAGCACTGCAGCCTTCTACGGTGGCCCACATATTTACGTCCCGTCGGTATCAATTCACAAAGCTCCCCTCAATTGTACGACAAAAAAGTAATTCAAAGACAACTTTGTACAGCAATGGCAGACGATACTAGAAATTCCAATTCTACTCTACGGGGTCCACCTCCAGGAGCAACCTCACCGCCCGATCACGTCAAAACTCCCAATAAAGTATATGAAGTATTCCACACGCCACCTGAAAATGCAAATGCCTTACCAGACGGCTCAGGGCAGAATACTGCAGGTGCACACAAGGAGACACCTACTCTAGGAGCAGCAGTCAAGACTGTACGATGGCAAGATTTCTCACAGGTTCATATGTATCCATGTGCTAGGGAAAGTTTTCTTACTGGAATTGGTGGGGGGTTCGCAATGGGTGGAATCAGGGCTATATTTGGAGGTATGTTATTGCAATTGTGTGTCTTGGGCTTGAACGGCCAAATGCTGACGCCTTACCCAAGCGCCGATTCCTAAAGCCGCGAACTGGGCAGTTGGGACATTTGTGTTCTCTGCTTTTGGAGCCTATGAATTTTGTTTGTACAGACGGCGATTAGAACGAGCACATATGAAGCGTGCTGTAGAAATTATTGATAGGAAGAAAGCAGAAAAGGAGGCACAGGCAGAAGAAAGGAGGAAAGAAAGGAGGAGGCTGAAGGAAGAAGCGGACAAAAAGGCTGAAGAAGCAGCTAAGAAACCAAATTGGAAGTTTTGGTAATGAGTAAAATCCCGAAAACAATGTATTAGCAGCCCCATACTGCGCTATAATGACCATCCATCCCGCTTGCATAATTTCGTATACTTAAAACTTGAGATCCTCTCCTTTTCATGAATATCCCCGAACGCCTGTCAGTACCTATACCGATTATAATTCCTAAGCCATGTCTCGAGACCACGCTCATAACCAAACGCTGTAACCATAATTTCCATCAAACTCCTAGAATAATCCAATACGAAAAGCTCAAGACGTTGAAATGATTCCCGGGTTCTCAGAATCAATAAACCTTACTCTCCTTGCTACCTTCTCAGCTTCCTTTCTGGCGGATTCGTCTGTTCCTCGTCTTCTTTCACTCCTTCGAGCTCGAGCTTCCCTTGCTTCCCGGCTCCTGTAATCTGCCATCTGTTGCTTCCTTCTTTCCGTTCTAGCATAAGCAAGAGCAGGCGTTGGCCGGAATCCAATTCCATTGATTCCCTCTCCGTCATCATCTGGATCGTCTGGTTTGTGTCCAGTGATTTCATTATTATGCCATGTCAAAGCAGCTCGGTCCGGATCCACAACCTCTCTTTCTTCTTCCATGGCATCTTCAGATTTAGACAATGGCGGTGTACCCATCCTCTTCTTTCCCCGAGACGTAGAATCAGCCAATCGATTGATAGATGGATATGCCCTTGCCAAACCATCCTTTTCTTTTGCGTCACTCAATCCGGCTCGAAATATCATGGGATCGACCTCGTTATGAAGCCGAATATTGTTTCCCATCTCCCGAATTATTGGATCGACTTTCCTTTCTTCCCCAATGACAGCCCTGAAGGCTTTTGGTTGTGGTGTCTCGGGAATTTCAGTTACTGTACTCCCAGTCATATCCACATCTCTGGAAGCAAACATTTTAATCCTTTTGCGCATATCAGATTCAGCATTTGTTGCTTCTTGTCCCTTCTTCTTGAGATTCAGTTTCTTTATATCGGTGGGTCCATCAAGGGCAAGACCCTGAAAGTGGTATGCGACTTTTGTACGTGGACTACCTTGGCCATCTTCTTCTGGAGATAATGTAGGTAAAGTAATCGAAGTTTGGAGACACATAGGTGAGGAATCCGGCGGAGTTGGTGCCTGGGGATCATTTCGTTTTCGTTTTGGAGAATCCATGAAAGAAGATATCATGATTGCATTATTTGAGATGATTGTATGTTAATCTCCTGGAGCTCGAAGCAATGGGCCGTGGTTGTTATTTAAAGCAGTTGATGTTGGTTATAAAGAAGGGGAATGGAATTGAAAGTGGTTGAAGGCCCAGGTGTATCGGATATCAGTGGAGGTGGAGTCCACGGGTGTGAATCAAAGCAATGGATGTCACTATTGGTGCGGGGTTCAGCCACAGTGAGACGGCGCTAATATTATCCTCGAATCCTTTTACACCTTTTTTGTTCACTCGAGACCTCGGTCTGGTACTATAAAGGAATTGATATACACATCGGATTCATGATATATTATCCGCTCGCATTTCGTTTGCAGCGAATCTATAATAGTTTGATATACTGAGCTTGAATGTTCGGGGGTTCTTTGAAAGCTCAAAGGTCCGTTTCCAAGAAACTATCAACAAAATGTTATATTGAATTGTCGAGGTTTGTAGGACAGACAGAACTCAAGAGCTACATTTTCCAGTCATCATCAGGCCTTGATGGATGCTGTTTGATCCTCCAGTCGTACAAGATAAACAAGGATTAAGTGAATACTATGATTCACTATGGTTCTAACACGTTGCTATCGCTTTTCTCTAATTCTTCCAAACTCCTTCCTGTCCCCTTTTCTCGACCCAGACCAAAAGTTCCCTCAAATCTTTTTTTACTTCCTCATTCTCTCTATATAGCCTCTCGTTAAAAGTAATTAGTTCTTCTGTAGCCTTGGCCTGCTCGTTTCTTCTGTCAAATCCGGAAGTTATATTGCCTTCATTCTCAATGTTCCCAGCTCCTGCTCCTTGACGCATTTCGTTGCCTGTGCTCGCGATATATCTTCCTTCCTCATTCCACCAAGTCCTCCAATTGTCGTTCTCATTCTTTAGGCGTGCGATCTTATTGCGATCCTCGAAGAAGATTTTGCCGGTAAACCAGATCGTTCCCATGAGAGAAGAGAATGCGACGATGAAGCAATTCTGGTAAAACTGTACTTTGGTGGCTTGACTTGGTGGTCTCTGAGATTGCGTCTGTGTTGGGCTTGATCTGGGAAGCTTGAATCTTCTTTTGAGATTCTTGTTCTTAAACCGCATCGTGGTAGTGTGTATCGTGTGCGTTGATTTCTCGTTGTGTTTTTGTCTTGCAACGTGAATTCAGTTGCAAATGATTTAAATTTTTGTTCTTGATAGGATGATTAAAACAGTGATTTTTCTCCGCATTCCTAAGTGAAGAAAATGCTTCATTGGTAGTGTATTCTTATTCTAGCTTGGAAGGACATTGATTTCTCCAAGTACGTACGATCGTGCGGCGTGGACTTTACAGAACCTATAGTCGCACCTACCATATTGATCTCTAATATAGTGTTTAAAGAACAACTTGCTATCTTATCACGAGAGGCAAGACCGGTCGCCGTCACAAGAGGAATAGACACGTCTGACACTCATGGATTATACTTTCGATCACAATCCACGATATGATTTAAAAATCCTTTTTGAGGATGTGTTAATAAATTTATCTATACCCTGCCGATTTCGCACTTTTATTCCTTCATTCACCTTGCTTATAAGCCACATGTGCTCTGATCTCAGAAATATACATATAGAAGAATCTAGTGTGATAATGTAGTATGACAGATTGACCAAATGTTGCAATAGAGCACATATCCCATTTGCAATGATACGCTACGCTTCGACTAGATAACCATGCTGCAGGCGCCGGAGCATTGTGCCAATTCTCATATTATTTGAAGTCTAATCGCATTCAATCTTCTTTTGCGCATATGAATCGCCAATGTTTTTAGTCGCTTGCATCTAAAATGCTAGCGTTCAATTCAAGAGTACTTCGTTGTTGTCGCTTAAGTCTTATATCGCCATCCGGGACAATGCTATCGACGAAATTTTGCCTCGCGCACTTGACTTAACAGTGACAATTATCATTCAAAATTGGTCAATTCTGAGTACCTATGAGCAATATAGTCTGGTGGGAATCGCACAGCTCCTGTAAGACATCTCGCTGATGTCGCTTTGGCTATACCGTTTCTTTCAGGCTCCAAACGACACTTATGACATAGAGGTCCGCAATTTTTGTCGGTCGCCAATCTATCTTTGCTTGGCCGAGGGAGTGTCTTGGGTATTCACCACTTTTGTCGAGCTTTTGGTGTGTCCATCTGGGTACCTTGATAGTTGGGATATTTCTGTCCATTTATTCAATTCTTTGGAGCATCAGTCAATACTGGTCGTTAAAGTATAAAGAGATCTTCTATTCCTGACACCCTGCTTCTCACGCCTCTTAGCACACCTTTCTCGTGTGAAAGGGAAGTAGTGTAATTTGAGACAACCTGCATATGAAACGAAAAGCACAATGAGGCTATGATTGATGGACACGTTTCCTGATTGTTCTCGAGCCTATGATCGCGCATCTCACCAAGACAGGAAGTCAAGATTTATTAGAACCTTTCAAATCCAGTCGTTGTTGTTGATTGCTCAAATCACTCACTGTCAAGAGTTTGACTCAGGAGTGTTACCACTCCTCAAATTCAATAGAGAGGTTTGAATAAAAAAGACACTTGGAGGAAGCTTGCGATAGCTATAGTTACATTTGATCGGCTTCCTCAATTCACAAGGAGCGACAGAGCCATATAATTCGTTTTTCAGAATCTCTTTCTCTTTGCTTGGTATTTCAATACTTGAGATTTTATCTTTCTATTTATACTATATTCTCAATCATAAGCAGAAAGAATCACGGTTATGGATTGTGGAGATGGCGGATTATGGTGAATAGACCAATGATTCTGGGTATCCCATGTCCTCACTTTCTACAATTTTACAGCCCCGCTAAAGGTTTGAAAGATTATGTTTGCGAGTGCTATAAAAGTACAGAGTAAATAGCTTGCATAGCGGTTATGGAGCCACATCAAATCGATACTGAGGGCCATGTGCTTTGTTTCGGTACTGGGATCTTCTTTCATCCCAGCTTGATCCAATCCTCAATCTTACGTCTATTTTACGCCTGATTCACCACTGAGGGTTGATTTACCCGGGTACCAGAAATATCGTTCGGCACAGCATTGCTGTTTTGTGATTTTACTGTCGTTTCTTGACTTTTCTGTCGTATTGTCGTATTCAATCTCCACCATTCTTTTCTCGACAACAGTTAGGTAACTATAAGCTGTGAGCGCGAGACTCTGCTATTGCAGATACCGAAAGAATTAAATCTGCACTTGAAATATTTTTTTCTCAGTGAAGCTTGCACAGTACTGTACTGCAGAGCAACATGCAGTGGATATGTTTATTTATAGCCAGAGTCCGAGATCTGAGTGATGAACATCTTACTTCGAAAAAGTGAATGTGCCAGCTTGGGTTATACTAGTCAGCTCACGCACATATAATTCGGAGATAATACGTCCAATGAAGCTCTAGACACAAGGCTCGGTGCATAGTTCGTTGTTTTAAGTAAAAAAGGTCTCAAAGTGTCAGCATTATTGCACCAATTTAAAAGCTCATTGCGCTGATAACGATGCAAATGGTTTGTGCTGATACAAAGTTTGTTACACACAAGCTTGCGAGTAGCGGATCTTGCATGTAAACAGATACAAGACTTCAAAGTCCGGTGCGCGCGTCGGGGATCCCGGAACATAGATTGTGCAACTTTGACAGCAACATGTTTATATTGCTTTCTACCTTCGTCTGAATCTTCGCTGCCATTTCCTTGGAAGTCGGTTCAAATGTTATGAAGGTTTTCGGTAAAACCGTACACTGAGAGATATTTTCATTTTCGTGCCTCGAAAGGAACAATTGGTTGCAAACACACTGACCCAACAGACCATTCGCTTTGTTCTTCAAGTTTACTTTGGAATATAGAATGGGTTGTAAAGATCGTAGTCTTCATACCTTTTATATTGCGTCCAATTTAAGAATTTTTGCGAGGCTCTTTGAATCACGCGAGGAGGTCTGTGAGTGAATGATCATCAACTTCCTTCGGGTTTCAAGTACGATCTTAAATGGATATAGTCAAAATTTTAATCCTCCATTATTTCCGTTAGGTATGAAGTCCGGATGTCTATTGTGTTAAGTTTTTCGTGGTCGGGTAGAAGGATTCCCATCTATGTCGTGTGAAAGAGCTCTAGAGGTATGGATTCAGATGTTTCAATTGTCACAAAGCCGAATGGGGTATACATGTGTTTGCTTTTCATTGATGCTGTTGAATTTACCTTAGATTAGGTGATGCAATCTTCAGACTTCATTCTGCTGCGGCGATAAAGAAAGAAGTTAGGTTTTTCCCCCGAGTGCTAATATTCATGTTCTTTTCCGACATAATTGTATACTTAGTAACACCAGAACTTTTCCTGCACATCGAATAATATGAAGGGACAACCTTTCAAATTGTGTACCAATATTTGGTACCCAATTAGTGGTTTCACCAATCATGAGAATGAATACTAAATCAATATAATCTTGAAAGTGGTAGTAACGACTCACTTAAATTTGACCCTTACGCTAGTATCTACATCTACAAATAAAATTCTATGAATTAACTTAAACCTTATGCCTCTAGTAAGTAATGATGTCATGACGCTAACTCCCAAATCCAAACTGATACTCATTTGGGAGCTCTAGCCAAAAGCTCAGAACATAGTTCTTGCGAGCGCAATGCTATTGGTTCAATTAGTATGATTACGTCAAATTCAAGATTCACCAGATTTGCAACAAAACCAGACTAAAGATCTAGATTAGGCTGTCTATGATACTCAAAAAGCGTTGCCGAGACTAGCGAGCTACATTTCTTCAGTTATCCATGTTCTTAAAAGACGCTAGTGAATAGCACCAACCACAAGATCGGATGATCCTTTCTTTCGGAGTGAACTAGGGACCACCGCTCTTTGCGATCGGAATATGATTGGTTCTTTCAATATGATTACGTCAATTTCGAGATCCGTCAGATATGCAACAAATTCGTGTCGGGAGATCTGGCCTCGCGTTTATTCACCCACGTCTAGCTCTAATATAACTAGTTTCCATGGCATACTAGTGATCCTCTAATACGATACGATACGTAGTTAATCTTAGCTTTCGCGTCAGTACCGGATTTTCGTCTCTCGAAAAAAGAATGATATTCAAATTTCCTTTGTAATCGTAACGTTATTGGCTCTCTCAACTTGATCACGTCAAATTCGAGATGGAGGAGATATGCAATGAATCATCAATTGAGTTCAAAATCTCTACGATTAGCAATGCCACGACTAGTGCTATACTTTTTTCTACCTCTGGGATTATATGATTGAGAGACGACTCCACTGTGAATACAAAGTTCCATATTTTACGGAATCATACGAATCTAGCGCGTTATTCTTCTAGCAAGCCACTCAAGATTTTGATAGCTTTGAGCTAGACAGGTAGTGCATCTAGTACCGAAAAATGACGGGTGCCATTTTTCTGATGTCTTTGCTTGCAAGAAAATGAGTTTCTCGTTTTTGAATATGTTTACCGAACTTGAATAAGTATCATTGTTATAACTGATTATCACAGTTGTCCTTATTTTTAGATTACTGTCTTTTACTATATACGCTGAGGTTAGACCTCATTTTCCACAAAATGTAGTCTTAGGTTAAGTACAAACCAGAAGTTCTTGTATCAACTAGGGACAATGGCGAACAGAATTCAACTTCTTTTACTCTGATTTTAGATTATTTTTATGGTTCTCCAATGGAGACAGACGTCTTTATATATCTTTCTAGAGATTTGAAAAATGAAAGGCAGCGGCTTTGGTGACTCAGTAAAGATTTATTCACTACTGAACCATGAACAATTTAATCAATTGTAACTTGGGTACTTGTGCCACTCTCATCATGCGAGTTAGCTAGCTTGGGAACACTTTATTTCCACATATAAAATCTATCACATTTACCTTTGTTTATTATACAGATTTTTGAAGTCAATCTACTATGAAACAGACTTAGGTGGCATTGCAAGTTCCGTCCAAGACATCTACGCGTGCTAGAAACTTCTAGCTTTGATTTTCAATAATTCTTGGTGTCTTCTATTCCGAGGAGAAAAGGAATTCTTGACACTATAATTTGTCATATTTGGTGCATAAA